GTGATCAGAACAGCCACACAACCGGCACAACGGCGGCGCCTCAGTCCCGAGCCACAGGTGCCGAGGGCCCTGATATGGCGGGGACGGGACGGTTCCCCGCAGGTGCCGAGGCCCTGACACGGGGGGCCGCACCCAGAAGGCCCGAGTGCCGGATGACTGGCAGCACACCGCAACGCCAAGGGACACTCCCAGGAAGCAGCCGATCCCACTTCCGGCGCCCAACATCATCAAGCAGGACCCGGTGGTTTTCCACAAGAGCTCGGTGGGGCTGAATGAAGGGGGCCAACGCCTTTCAGCTACCCCCCTGACAAGTCCAACGGAGCCGTCACCGGGATTGGACATCTTCCCGTGGATGGAGAACATCCCTGAGCGTCTGGTACAGCGGCTGAGATGGACACAGGGCACATCGCCCAAAGTTCCATCCAGTGGGCCCATCATTGTCCTGCTCTATGCAGGCAAGGAAGACCCAACTTCCTTGGACAGCTGTCTTCATGCCAACTACCCACACCTTTCCAGCATGGTGGTGGCGGTAGACATCCTACGGTCTGGACCAAAAGGGGACCACGATATGCTCCAACCCGAGCTGTATGGAGCTCTTTGCACGGCAGCAAAGCAGGGCCGAGTGGTCTTCATTGGAGGAGGACCCAACTGCAGGACATGGTCCATCCTGCGCCACATACCAAAACCGGGGCTCCCACCCCGGTGCGAGGGCGCACTCCAGAGACACTTTGGGGCCTTCCACACCTGGACCAGGCCGCCCAGACTCAACTTGATGATGACAGCATCCTCATTCTGAGACAGATGTACATCACCAGCCTGGCAAGGGCCTCACGAGCGGCGGTTTCTCTGCCAGGGCCCAGGTCCTTCCTGGAACACCCGGAGGACCCAGTGGTGAGCAGCTCGCTGCCCAAAGCCAAGGAATGCTCATCCTTCTGGATCACAGAGGAGGGGCAGCTTTGGATGGAGGAGAACTCCTTGACAGCAATCTCCTTCGACCAGTGCCGCCTGGGCCAGCTGGTCAAGAAGGCCACTACGCTGGCCACGGATCTCCCGATCCAGGACTGGGATCAAATGCGGTGCACGCATCAGTCACATGTGGGCACCAACGAGTCCTCGACTCTTAGCAGATACCCTTGGGATATGATGGCAGGCCTGGCCAAAGCCATCGCTGTGTCACTCGCAGCGCCGGGGCACATCCGGATCCCCTCACAATTTCCGGGGAACCCCAAGGAACCACCTAAGGGGCGGGGGTCGGACCCCCCGGAAGGCCATTCCCCCCGGGGAAAACGGGGGCCCAGTCAAGGAGGCGGTCCCTCCTCATCACACCAGGGCTCAAAGCCCGGAGGCAAGAACGCCCCGAAGCCCCGCCTGCACGGGCAGTTCCACCCTGAGGCAGACACCGTAAGCCCTCGTGGAACAATGAACCCAGACTTCCCATCTCCCATGCCCCCGATGGCCGGAGATGCGGAACAACTGGGGAAGGAGGGACAGGGGGACCAGGTCCTGGACCGCCCCGAATGCCTGCCCGCTTTCAGGGTCCCACACCTCACTGACCGGGTGGCGATTGTCCAATTGGGTTTCCGCTCACGCCCCCTGAGGGATGGGGGGGGAAAACCTTCCCCAGGGAGGCTCAACCCCCCTTTTCGGAGAATTTCCCCATTGGCTACTTTGGGCGCCCTGATCATGACCCTTACCCGGCCCTGGATTGACAAGGTCCGAATGTCCCTGGCATCAGGTGCCACCACACACCCCTTCCAGGAAGCCGACCTCGAGGAGCTGCGGGCTATCCTAGGACCGAGGCACCTCCATGAACGATGCCCAGGACAACCCTTCCTCCTGGACTTAGTGTCGCACTTGGCATCCCTTTCAGGTGACCCTGATTGGGAGTTCCCCCTAACACTGACAGAGGGGGTCCCCTTGGGAGTCTCGGACCCTACCTTGACCTCCCCGGGAGTTTGGCCCACTAAGGAGGAGCTTAAGGGAGAAGCCTGGCTGGGGGAAGATCCCCCCCCGCCAGTGGCTCATGATAACTACCCAACGGCTGAACTCTTTGCCAAGGAAATCGAATCAACCTTTTACGAGGAACGAGCCTTGGACATGGTGGACGGGCCCTTCACTCGCTCCGAGGCGGCAGAGAGTTGCCGCTGCAAACCGGAGGAACTTTGCCCGGGCCCCCTTGCAGGGATTGATGAGTCGGACAAGATCAGGACGATCTATGATGGCTCAAAAGGGGGAGCAAACGCACACATCCAGGCTCACACGGAGGAGAAGACCACCGCACCGATGGTTGGAGACTGCCTCTGGCTCAGGACAGCGGCGGACCATCCTCATCTACTCCGAGCCCCATCCTCGGGCACTGATGAGGAACCTCGGGATGTTCACCAGCCGGTGCAGGGGCAGTCCCCAGGTGCCGAGGGGGAGCACCAGCCTGCCCCCAGCCGCCCAGGGGCAGGCGGATGATGGAGACCTGGCGGCCTGGACGTCTCTCCGCGGTCAACACCCTCAGGGAAGGGGCCACTCCCAGGTGCCGAGGGCCCTGATAGGAGGGCCCCATTCCCCCCAACCCCCCCAGGCACGGAACGCCCTGGGGGGAGCAGGGGGGAACCCCTGACGTGGCAGCCGCCGACACAGGGGGAAACCTTCATCATCCTCAAGGCGGATGTCACCAAGGCCCACAGGCGCATAAAAGTGCTCCAGAAAGACTGGAAATACCAGGTGGCCTGCATCCAGAACCGGTGGTGGGTCAATAGAGTGGGCACGTACGGCATGGCCTCGGCACAACTGTACTGGGGAAGAAAGGCATCTTGGTGCTCAGACTCTTGTACTACATCTTCCCTCAGGTGGACTGGCACTTAGTCTTTGTGGACGACTACTGCTGGGTCCTCAGATGCAGCAGGGCGGACTGGGACGCCACAGCCATCCTGGCCACTCTTCTGGCGCTGGGAGTCCCGCTTTCTTGGAAGAAGACGGCGCTCTCCCCGGTCAATACCTGGTTGGGATTCGTGGTGGACCCAATCACGCCCTGTGTGCTGCTGGCTCCAGTCAAGCACGTCATAATCCTGGCCACTCTCAAACGGCTGGCCCAGGGGGACATCTTTACCAGCAAGGAGGTGGAACAAGCCCTGGGCCGGATGGAAGAAGGCCTGCACCACTTCGGGCAGGCCACCGAAGCTGGTTCGTGCTCTGGCCATCCTTCCCCACTGGCATCTCCATTTGCTCCCACACTTCCCACACTTCCATGGACGGGGGCATCTGATGCGGGAGCTGGCAAACAGGCGGACCATGCATGGGTTGGTGGTTGGTGCTCGGACGTGCCCAACCCCGACAAGTCCCGAGTGAAGTGGTTCCAACACAGAATCACACCGGAGGGCGAGCCGTGGGCCTTCACTACTGGGGACCCGCAGCGGGCGATAGCGGCCTTGGAGCTCTTCGGCCTCCTCCTTTTGGTGAGGGCTGTTCTGCTTTGTGCAGCCGGCTCGGCTTCTCACACTAGGATTCTGGTTGCTAGTGATAACCAGGGAAACGTTTTCTCCCTGCTTAACGATTCCACTCGCAGGATGCCCAATGCGGCCATCCTCATGGAAATTGTGTTAACACTGCATGACCACCAGGTCATGTTAGGACCGTCGCATGTGAAGCGCGACTTTAACACATGGGCGGATGAACTTACTCATCCGGACCCGCAATTTCCGACTGAGAACCGGGTCTTCCCCTCAGTCGAAAGCGAATTGATCAAGCTGATCTTCGCTACTTTCCTTCCTCACCCATGATGCCGGGAGGGCATCCGGTGAGGTGGGAGGATTCCTCCCTCGCTGTGGGAGTGGCATCAATTCTACTCCCATCAGCTGCTGAGGGGAGCTGCCCAGTGGAGCTGGGCAATCCTCCCATTTTGGCACTAATCCTTATGCGGCGTAAAGGATGCACCGTTTCGCGATTAAGGTACCAGTAGCACCAATGTGGTGCTTTGAAGAGTCTGGGTTTCCTTCAAAAGGAGCCCAAGAACGAGTGCTCTCAAGAAAATATTCGCCCAACTTTCTGCTTTGTGGATCTCTGCGAGTGTCATTCTATTGTTTGTGGCTCCCTAAACATGGACCATACGCAGGTTGTCGCCGTAGGGGCGAGCCAGGAGCTGCCACGGCAAGCAGAAGATTTGAGAATGTGGTCGTTAATTGGTGGCTCCCAGCCATCCGGTTCCTTAGCTTTTTGGATCCTTTTAGCGTTTAGTGGTTGGTTTGAAAGTTAGTCACTTTTAGCAGGGCATCTGAGGCCAGCCCAGGATAGTTGGCAAAGCTGGACGATATCAAGCACTCCGGGTGACTTAGTCAGTTTTGCTCTACTTCTCTTTCTGTTGGCGGGTTTCTCTTTCATTCCATTTGAAGCCACATTGGACAGTGACATGCCCAGAACGATGAACATCCCCTGAAGCCAAGGGGTGTAGACACTACTCCATGATGCCAGATCCAAGCAAAATGGTTCATCCTGCCAGGCAGGGGCTCTCAGATCCCATTTTGGCTGGTACGTGAATTCACCACCCATTTTAGGCTTCCTATTTTTGTGGTACCATTTTGAGGGTTTTCGTTGCACCACCCATTTTAGGCTTCCTATTTTTCAGTGGTTGGATTGGGATTTTCACTGGAGGCTAACCGATTTGGATTTTGACCCATGGCCATGTATTTGTGCGCAATGTTGGGCTTGCCGGCTGATTTGCTGAACTTGGTTTACCCCGGTTCCGCTTCATGCTGGCAACGCGAAGAATGACCCATGTTGAGCATATCTTGGCGTAGTTTGGGTGGAGGGAGACCACCTATACCCCTGGTTCGAAGATACCTACAAAGCTCCAGATACGCATTATGGGCACGTCTTCGCGCGCACAGCAAGCGAGGGCGGGACAATAAAGCCTGCAAAGTGTATTGGCAATCTCTGCGTGTGTCTGTGTTCAGGTCGTCGGGCAAGGATTGCGGGATGTTTACTCAACATGCCTGCCACTTTTTGCCTGCCAGGAACTACCCTCTGGCGTTGGACCCAGATGAGGCAGGATCTTGGGGGGGGGGGCTAAACATCAGCGTGCCAAGAACGCCTTGCTGTTTGGACAAGACAAATGTTCAATTTCTCATGTTCTTGCCCAAAGCGAATCCACCATTTAGCCTGTTAGTTTCCCTTCTGGTCCCCCAAAACTGGCCTGATTGCTCGTGGTTTTCACGCGTTGGGATTGGGCAAGGTCAATGAGGGAACGTGTTTTCCATGAAGGATGTCAGGATGCGTTGTTGCTTTTACTGGGACCCTAAGACCCAAGATAGTCGTGGATGCGATTGCGCTAAAATGTCGGGGAAACGGCAGATCCAGTTGTCAGGTCATCCTTACTTGGTGGATGGGATTGGTGGTTTTGAGATTGCAGCAAGGGATCAACCTCTAAGTACCTTGTGGGGTGGAAATCTAGAGAGCCCTGTGAGAGAACTGCTCGATAACTCGTGGGTTATCAGCTCACATGTACATGTATGCTTTTGGAGGGCACCTAGATCCCGAGTTGCCTTTGTTTTCCAGCTACTTCTGCAAAATTATTGGCTACTAGTGGGTAAAGTTGCTGGAACACGTAGCTATTTGGGGTTCCAGGTACCCCTTTTAGGGTTGGTCAAAAGGGAAGCCAAAAGGGAAACCAAAGGCATGGGGCCTCTTTGACACCTCGAAAGCTCCGAATACCCGCTTTTTGTTCAAGGTATTCTTTGGAAAACCGCTGGGCTTCCATGGAAATCCATTTCGCACCATCCGGGGAAATCTGGAGTGATGATACCCCTGCAAATACCAATGGTTTGCCATGGTTTCCAAATGATGCAGGGTACTGTCCATCCACAGTACCTCCGTTTTTTAGTAGAGGGGTGACATACGCTGGAAAGAAGGAGGTTACAGGAGTATGTTTCACACTCCTGTCAGGGGGGCATCAGCCTAGTTCACAAATGGCGATGGGTCAAAATTAGACCACCCGGGGACCACAGATTTTAGTCCTTGGTTCCATTACCCAGGGTTCCATTTCGGGCCTTTTGGGTACCCATTTTTTGACCCACGCCCAAATCATACCCCCCAGAAAAAAACTCCCGATTGATTTAGGGCCTTAAAACAAGCTGGCTTTGAGACCCCCAACCAGTCTAATGGAGGGCTCGGGTCTTCCATTGAACGCCTCCGGGCCCAAAAGCAATCTCGGGGTATCCCATTCGCCAGATCCAGCCCTCCATCACGCTCTGGGCTGGGAGTTGGTATGAACGGCTGCGGCACTACTTCCGGCACGGCGCGGCGCCCGGTCGGTCGTTCGGTCGGACACGAAGCGAAATTGTAGACCCTGAGTTCCGTTCCTGGGCTTTTCATTTTTGGAGTTTGGTTGCATTTGGCTGCCATTTTTATAGCAATCGACAAGTTTGGTTGCTTCTTGGGTTTGGACCATTTTAGTGGCAAGCGAAAGGTTTGGCGACTTTTTCGGCCAAGCCACCCAGGAAGTGAGAGAGACAGAGAGGGCGGTTTTCGGTTTTTCCGAGCCCTGGCAGCCCACCAGTCTGGGGTCAGAGGCATTTTGTTCATTCACCAATGGAGCGTAGATCTGTTTTGGCTGTGGTCAAAAATTGGTACCCAAAATGGAACCCTGGGAAATGGAACCAAAGACTAAAACCGGTCCGATTTCTGGTGGTTTACACCCAGATGCATCTGATTTTTTGGGTTCGGGGGAAGAAGCTGAGGGAACGGGGATCCTATGGCTCGCCGGGGCTCAGGCTGCGTCTTCCCCCGGGAGCCCATCGAGCGCTGGGCGGAGCCGCGCGGCGGCGAGTTTTTTCGACGGAACGCTTCACGCGTGGCTCCCGCAGAGCCCGATTTTTTTCCCATTTGCGTCGCAGAACCTGTTTGCACTAAACGAAAAGCTTTGTTTTTTTTTTGGGGGGGGGAAAGCACCACTGTCACTGAAAAGCGGCAGGCCTCCACAGCGTCCCACACTCAACCCAAAATGTTGGACTTCCCTTATTTATGGGTAGTTTGAGGGTCCAGATTGTTTTCATTCGTTGTTTCTCCTTGCTTTTCACAGGAATCTATCCCTACTGGGGATATTTTTCCTGGGAAGCTGAAGCACAAGGGTGAGAAGATGACCAAGGGGCTTTCGAAAGGAGAACCCTTGGGGGGGTGGACACTACCTGGAGTCTCCATGACCCTTTAAGAATGGGTCAATGACCCAAATATGTGGCTTAAGATTCAACCAAGTGATTGCAGAAAGTGTCGTTTGAAGAATCCAGACATGTAGACGAAGAATCAACGTTGCGACACCCTCAAGCTTGCTTCCAGCCTATGGCTTCGTTTTCCCCAAAACAGGTTCATTCAACACGCTGGGAACATTCATTCCCTACCAAGCCTTTGGTGCATTTTGCCAAGGGATGTTAGGACTTTAACTTTTTGCCAACCAAATTGGTTTTCCATTAGCAGGGGAGCAGAAAACAATCGAGAAGCGCTGGTCTCATCTTTAAATGGCGATGGCCAGAGATGGGTATGGGTCAAAATAAAACCACCAGGGGACCGCATGTTTTAGTCTTTGGTTCCATTTACCAGGGTTCCGTTTTGGGTACCTATTTTTTACCCACAGCCAGATAAGTTTTGAGCGCGGCATGGAAGTGCACGTGTACCTGGCGAGTGGGAAGAGCTGCTCGGTGAAGCTGCCACCGGAGGTCACCGTCCGAGAGCTGAAGGTCAAAGCGCAGCGGCAGCTCACTTGCAACCAAATCCATTTCGACCTACTGTATGGTGCCCCTTTTCAAAAGTCATTCGTGGCCCCCAGAGGCGACCCATGCGGCAAACCACATCCTATTGCCGCCCAACAAGTGGAGTGCATCAGGGGTTGAGCACTTCACTGTTGTTGGCATGTTTTTTTTGGTTTGGTTTCAACTTTTAGGCGTCTGAACAAAGCAAACATGTTTTGCTGCCACAAGCTTTGGAAAGATCAGTGGCCCCAAAAGGCCGAAGGCTTTGACCTTGGCTTCGTCTCCCGTTCTTTGATCCATTTTTCGTTCACTTTGCTCCTTTGGGCAGCTGAGGCAGCTGAACCTTCCGTGGCTGCGGCTGATTTCCCGAGGCCGTCAGCTGGATCACTCGATCTCCTTGGCTGAAGCGGGCCTCAGAGATGGAGATTGCGTGGATGCGATCGCGCAGCCGGCCAAGCTGGCGGCCACCTCTGGAGCCTTCGCCTTCTTTGTCGTAGCTTGCCAGCCGTCCAGGTTTTTCCCTTTTTTCAGGCCACCCTTTTTGGGTTGGCTCTAAAGAGACACCAAAAGGAGATTTGCCACCATTTTGGGGGGTCCCGCAAAAAAAGGACAGACCCGTTGTGTGGTAGTTTCCGTATTTAACCCACGAATTTCTGAAAAGTTGAACTTTTAGCGGGGGATCTGAGGGCAGTCCAGGTGGGAGGCGGGGCGCTTACTTTGGGCAGCGCAGAGAAGGGCGGTGACACCAGCCAGGTGCAAGAGCAGCTTTTGCGGGTGCAGCAAGTCCAAGCCTCCGAGCGTGCTTTTGCCGCCATCCTGGGCGACGGCTCTGTGGTGACCTGGGGCCATGCTACCTTTGGCGGTAGCAGCAGCCAGGTGACCCGCCAGTTGGTGCGCGTACAGCAGATCCAAGCAACTCTGGCTGCTTTTGCGGCCATCCTGGACAATGGCTCCGTGGTGACTTGGGGCGATCAGGCTCATGGCGGTGACAGCAGCCAGGTGCGAGAGCAGTTGGTGCGGGTGCAGCAGATCCAAGCAACAGACCGTGCCTTTGCTGCAATCCGGGACGACGGCTCTGTGGTGACTTGGGGCATGACTGGCAACGGCGGTGACAGCAGCAATGTGCAAGGACAGTTGATCAAGGTTAAGCAGATCCAAGCAACTGAGAGTGCTTTTGCTGCCATCCTGGACAATGGCTCCGTGGTGACTTGGGGCGATCAGGCTCATGGCGGTGACAGCAGCCAGGTGACGGACCAGTTGGTGCGCGTGCAGCAGATCCAAGCGTCTGAGCGTGCTTTTGCTGCCATCCTGGACGACGGCTCTGTAGTGACGTGGGGCGATCCTGGCTATGGCGGGGATAGTAGCGGGGTGCAAGCCCAGCTGATGCGGGTCCAGCAGATCCAAGCATCTGAGCGTGCTTTTGCTGCCATTTTGAGCGACGGCCGTGTTTTGACTTGGGGTGATCCTGGCTATGGCGGTGACAGCAGCCAGGTGCAAAAGCAGTTGGCAAATGTTCAGCACATTCAAGCAACTGCACACGCTTTCGCTGCTCTCACGGGCGATGGCTTTGTGTTGACTTGGGGCAAGCCTGAGTCCGGTGGTAATAGCAGAAAGGTGCAAGACAAGTTGGTGCGGGTCCGGCAGATTCAAGCTACTTGCGTTGCTTTTGCTGCCATCCGAGATGACGGCTCCGTGGTGGCTTGGGGCAATCCTACTTCCGGAGGGTCTTGCAAAGGAGTGGGAGACCAACTTGTGCGGGTTCAGCAGATCCGAGCAAATCAGTGTGCTTTTGCTGCTATCCTAGACGACGGCTCCGTAGTCACTTGGGGCCGTCCTGACCATGGCGGTGGCATCGCGCGGATCCAGCGCTTTCTTGACTGGGTATGAGAAACACCACCGACCTCGACTTGTCCTTTTCGTGGAAATTCCTTTGGGGTGATGTTTCTTTTGGCTGCCTTCAGAAGGCCATCCGACCAAACATGTTCAAGCAGTTCTGGGGGTATTTTGAGGTAGACGTGGACTAGAGACGGACCAGATTCTCAATGTAGTCTTTCTTGTGTGTGCGCCCCCGTGTTGGGCCACGCAGTCTTGCTCGCTTTCACTTGTGTGCGTGCATGTGTGTGTGGGTCACACATCGGCGACCCATGGCTTGTTGAAGTAGTTAATCTCAATCAGAGGTGAGCGACAATACCTTCAAATGGGTCAAATGAGTCATTGTATGAATTAGTATCACTGGGCTTTGTCGCACAGCCATATTTTGTAACTAAGTTGTGGCTCGGGTTTGATTAATGTCCAACAAGGAGATCCGCAGAGGAGATTTCATGATGCTCCATGCTTTGTGTATGTCGTCCCATTTTTCACCCCTTTGGCAACAGAACATGCTCAAGTGTCTCAGTGTCTCAGTGTCTCATTGTGTAGGATGGCTTCGCTGGTTGCAGCTTCTTTTGCCGGCGCAACCTGAGTACATAATTGCAGCAATCATGTTTGCCCAGCCAGGTTTGCCCTGGACAGCGCCCGAGCAAACGAATGCCCCATGTTCAACAGGGCTCCTTAAAAGATACATGTTGCAACCATTTGAAACATGGCTTTTTCCACCAAAACAAAGGGACACCACAATTTACAAGTTGTGATCGGTGGGCCATCCCTTTCAGAGAGAATGGAGAAGGATGGCTGCAGGAAAACTTGGGACCTTCGGTGCTGGCAGAAGGCTGATCATGACCCACGGATGGAACCCAGAGGGCTTTTTGACTGCTCAACCTGGGCAAAAAAGAACAGGCACCTGGAGACCCCTTTAAACAGGGGGTCATTATCCAACATAAAAGGGGTCATGGACACATTTTTCCAGGGTCATGGAGATTCCATGTGTACCCTTCTCACTTCCTGAGTTGACTCGGACTTTAATTTTCTGTTGGGCTTGGACCATTTCAGTGGTAAACAAAAAAGACAAGCCATAATGTTGACGCCCTATTAAATCAACCCCAGGTTATTAATAGGGGGTGTTGCAAAAGTGATGATTCCCCTCATTTCATCCAGGGAGAAGGATCCCATGAATAAACTGGTTGGTTGATCAATATTGGGTCAAAATTGGTCCCTTTTTTGGGAAGGGTTTCCCTTGAACATCCACCAAACCACAGCCTTTTGGGGTTTGGTTGCCATTTCAGTGGTAAAGTCAAAAAAGATATGAAATTTCGGAAAAAAGCGAGAAAAGGATTGGTGCTTCCCTAAAAACACAAAAGGGTGCGACATCTGCCAACCTTGAAACCACAGTTCACCCAGGGAGAAGCCCCCCCCATTCATAAACTGGTTGGTTGGTTAAGTATGGGGTCAACACTCAAACTACCCCGCCAAAATGGGTGTTTTTACCCCAAACTGGTTGATTCGATGTTTTTCATTTCGGTGGGGTAAACAGTAAACAAATGCGATTTTTCCGAAAACAACCCGGGGGAACAGAGTTGGTGCTTCTCTTGAATCATTGAACATCAACCCAAAAACGCTGCCTGGGAACACAAGAGCGACAGACGCGCGCAGAACTCTCTGCCAACGCATGGTTGTTGGGAAGCATTTTCAGTTTTTGCTTATTATGGAGCTTTAGTGGTTGAACTGCAACCACTGAACTGCTAAAAACCTATTTTTTGCTCCACTTCCAAGGTCAACCAAGAATGGACTCCTTTCGTCTTCCAAGGACCTGGGCCCTGGGGGATACCACCTTCCTCGAGGCCTTCCGACGCAGCGGCCGGGTTTTGAACATCACCTGCGCCTCGGACGGGATCCGTCCGGATCCGTCCGGATCGACGGCTCGACGGAGCCGGCCGAGGAGAACGACGGAAAAGGAGCCGGAACGAACCGGAGCCGGAAAGGAGCCGAGGTTCCTTTCGTTGAAGAGTATTTGTCATGTTCCCCTTGGCTTAAAGGGATTCAAATTCGCAGTTTCCTTCTATTTACTTGGTGCGGGAAGTAGGGGGTGAGAAATGGAATGAACTTGGGGATTCCCGAAAAAAGGAAGCCATTGGATGGATGGTTTATTTATGTTCTTTTCATGTGTTGAGTTCAAATTCCATTTTCTGAAGTTAACGTTTGTTATGTTCCCCGGAGTCGAACCATGACCCAAATCAAACATGGAGACTCCAGATATTTGTTATGCTCTACTTGGTTTTAAAGTTTTAAAGGGAAAACAAAGCACCAACTGGAACTATGTTCCCATTTTCTCCGGGGGGCAAAAAAACAATCAAATGGAAGATTCCCAGTGGGTGCAAATCCTGTTGCCCATTTGCTTGTTCGCCTCCTGAAAAATAGAATACACGTCCAATAGTAAAATCAGTGCAATCGATTCGCAATAAAACCAAGGGACAAGACAAAATACTGTAAATTCATTTCGGGAAATGGAAGGAACTCAAAAGCGTTTCGGACTTTGGTTACTTTTTGGAATTGGACCATTTTAGTGGTAACCAAAGCCAAGAGTTTGGCGACAACATTTCTGAGTGTTTTTTTTTCTGGATTACCTTCAAGACCAACTCCCAAAAAAGGGTTGCAGATTCCCTCTTTTTCCTTGTGGAGTCTAAGTCTTTAACGGCCCGTCTTCAATGAAGTGGAGCCGTTGTACGGAGCGGGCTAGAGCCCTTCGAGGGTTTTTCAAAGAAAAAGGAAGTTGGACTAGAGGCCAAAGCATATTCTAGGTCCCCCAGGTGTCCTTCTCACCCGTTTCTTTTTTGGTTGGGTGGGTTCCCCTACTAAAACAGACTACAGAAGAAAAAGGTACCCTTATTCTAACCTCTCTACTGGAGGACCTAGATATTGCATCGTGTGCAGAGCCCTTTCGCGCTACTCTGTATGGGTTTGGGATGTATCCTTTAAGGAACCCTGCAGATGGGGTCAGAAACCTCCCAAATGGTGTCGCACACCTCCCAACTTAGGAAAGGAAGTACGCTGCCAGTTGAAAGGCTACGTGGAAAGAGAAGGATTCTGCGCTTTTTCTTTTGTTGGCGGAGGAGGGTACCCCTTTGGACCATATTATATATATATATATAAGATTGTCTCCTTTTCTGGGAGGCTTTCTACCTTTTGCTGCGGTGGTTTGCAAGGAAGACTTTTTAAAAGGAAGCCAACATTTGTTTTGCCATGACTTATCCCAACCAGGTAGAGAGGAACAATACTCCTTTGGTTGGGTTTTAGGGGGCAAGCCATCTTGGACGAGATCCTTCACTTTGAGCGGAAAACACTCCCCAATCATCTGTTTTTCTGTCTGAAGTCGGCGTATCGCCTGCCACCCTCTAAAAAAGATCCATCCGGTTGATCAGTCGCACCCATAAAATCCCTTGTTGTGTGAATCTCGGGGAAGCGGGGCCAAACATAAAATGGCAGATGGCGCTTTTGCGGGATCCGACTAGCCTTGTGCTGAAAAGCACAAGGCTTCAAGGCCAGCCTTTGCAGGTCCACAAATCTGCGAGTGAAAGTTCCCCAAATGGAGTTATGCACAGATATATGAGGTACCAAGCATCATTTGGGTTTGTTCACACTTAGATCCTTGATCCCGTCACAAGTGACTAGCATCAGATTTCTACACAGGAATCCCCGGATCCAATCCAATTCCCGGGATTTAGATCCCTTTCCCAGTAGGTTTCCCTGCAACAAGTCGCAAAACAACTGGGTGATTCGCAGCCATCTCCTCAGGCTCTTAGCTTTTGAGTGCTTAGTTCTCACCCACCCTGGATCACCAGTTGCGATCGCTCTTTTCCATGCACTTTGTCTCACAAACCAGCAACAGTGACTGAAAAAAACAGCAACTCGTCTATCTAGGACCAAAAGTCTTACACTTTTAGGGGGTCGGAACACAGATAGCCCAGACAAGGGGACCCCTGTGTCCAAAACTTGTCCCTCCCGCCTATGGAAATCCACCGGTCGGATCGATCCATTTGAAGCTGAGGCAGCATCGTGGCGGTGGACAGTAGCGAGCATCTCGACACAGTCGGGCGTCCGGCGTCGGGCTGGGGCAGTGGGTTTTGTGATTTTTGTCAACTGCTCTTCCTTCTTCTAGGTCCCCCAGTAGTGCCCAGTAGTTCCTTCTTTTTGGGGGAGGGTTCCCTTAAGAAAAGAGGGTACCCTTATTCTAACCTTTCTACTCGAGGACCTAGTTCTTACTTCCAGGTGTTGCATGATGGTTTGCCCAAAATAGCTACTGTAGCTAGCTTCTTCAAAACCGATTTCCAATGATTTGCAGATTGGGACTATGCGGTTTACGTATGAATGGACTATGCGCTTTTCGGAGTACGGATTGTGAGTCGCATGGGTTTGGAATGCTCCAGCATCCATCGCACTTTGCAGCACAAATTTACGGATTAATAAGATTACCAACCAGAACAAGGATGAAGAGGATTGCACATTCTGGCTAGGCTCCAATGGAATTTCAACAGGCTAGTATAATGTTGGTTAAAAAATATCAGCAGCTGCGGTTTCAGTTTTGACTCGGAGGCTCTTTGAGAACATGGTAGCATCTGTGGTTCTGACGCCTGATTGAAATTCTGTGTCACAATCCCCTTCGGGAAGTGGGATGATGAAACCAATTTTGAATTGTCATATAGATATTCACGAACCGAGAGTGATGAATCCAGGAAATACTGCCTTCCAAGTGCTAACAGAAAGCGATTTGGATGCCCACCAGAGGTATCTGTATCAGGGATATACTGCTGAACCTTAGCTGACATTCACAGGGCATCGGAAGAGCAACGCCTTTTTTGAACATGCCCCCGCCACTACACTTACCCCCTATTCCACATCTATTTGCTGCAGAACCAGTTGTTATTCCCCACATCTTTGTGTGGGGTTCTTACTTTTACCGCTCCGCGCCCGCTGTCCGCCGTCCGGCCCCGCCGTCCGCCGCCCGCCCCGCCGCTCCCGCCGCCCACTCACTCACACTCACTGTCTCACTCTCACTCACTCACACTCACTCTCTCACACTCACTCACACACACTCACTCTCTCACACTCACTCACACACACTCACTCACACTCACTCACACTCACACTCACTCACTCACTCACTCACTCACTCACTCACACTCACTCACACTCACCTGGGCTTGTGTTTGTGTGGCAGGGGCAGCATTTGGCAGCTGTCTAAAGGGATGGGAAAGGGATGGGATGTTGTCGCGCGCGCGGCTCGGGGCCGCGAAATTGTGGCAGGCGCAGCACTTTGAAGATGCCGTTTGCCGAAGTCGTGGCAGGCGCAGCATTCTGTGCATCTGAGTGTGTGTTTGCGTGGCAGGGGCAGCATTTGGCAGCTGTCTAAAGGGCTGGGATGTTGTCGCGCGCGCGGCTCGGGGCGCGCGAAATCGTGGCAGGCGCAGCACTTTGGAGATGCCATTGCCGAAGTCGTGGCAGGCGCAGCATTCTGTGCATCTGAGCGTGTGTTTGCTTGGCAGGGGCAGCATTTGGCAGCTGTCTAAAGGGATGGGATGTTGTCGCGCGCGCGGCTCGGGGCGCGTGAAATCGTGGCAGGCGCAGCACTTTGAAGATGCCGTTGCCGAAGTCGTGGCAGGCGCAGCATTCTGTGCATCTGAGCGTGTGTTGGCGTGGCAGGGGCAGCATTTGGCGGCTGTCTAAAGGGCTGGGATGTTGCCGCGCGCGCGGCTCGGGGCGCGCGAAATCGTGGCAGGCGCAGCACTTAATTTGGAGATGCCATTGCCGAAGTCGTGGCAGGCGCAGCATTCTGTGCATCTGAGTGTGTGTTTGCGTGGCAGGGGCAGCATTTGGCAGCTGTCTAAAGGGCTGGGATGTTGTCGCGCGCGCGGCCCGGGGCGCGCGAAATCGTGGCAGGCGCAGCACTTTGGAGATGCCATTGCCGAAGTCGTGGCAGGCGCAGCATTCTATGCATCTGAGTGTGTGTTTGCGTGGCAGGGGCAGCATTTGGCAGCTGTCTAAAGGGCTGGGATGTTGTCGCGCGCGCGGCCCGGGGCGCGCGAAATCGTGGCAGGCGCAGCACTTTGGAGATGTCATTGCCGAAGTGTGGCAGGCGCAGCATTCTGTGCATCTGAGCGTGTGTTTGCGTGGCAGGGGCAGCATTTGGCAGCTTGTCGCGCGCGCGGCTCGGGGCGCGCGAAATCGTGGCAGGCGCAGCACTTTGGAGATGCCACTGCCGAAGTCGTGGGAGGCGCAGCATTCTGTGCATCTGAGCGTGTGTTTGCGTGGCAGGGGCAGCATTTGGCAGCTGTCTAAGGGATAGGATGTTGTCGCGCGCGCGGCTCGGGGCGTACGAAATCGCGGCAGGCGCAGCACTTTGGAGATGCCATTGCCGAAGTCGTGGCAGGTGCGGTTTTTTGTGCGTGGCAGGGGCAAGGGCAGCATTTTGTGTATCTGGGCGCGTGTTTGCGTGGCAAGACGAAGTACTTAGCGCGTCACAGCGCAGGATGCATGGGGCCAGGCTGGCAGATACATGCTGCGCCTGACGCGTTGGCACTTCAAGCCATATGTTAAACATATGCCGCTGACATATGCCATTGGCGATGCCAATGCGACCCCTCGATCTGCCAGAGCGAAAATAAAGTGCTGAGAGTTTTCGACAGCTGAGTGCGTGAAGGTTTTGCATGTGAGGGTCTTTGCATGTCTCGGATTTGGGATTATTCGCTGCTCGGCAAATGCAAGTGTCGCATACTTCAATAAGCATAGACTTGTGGGGTTATCTGGCCCTTTAATCTTATTTGTTTAATGGTAAACACCCATGCCTTGATGAGCAAAGGGTTGACATCATATCCTACCGTACCAGCTCAACGAGAATTGATGTCTAAGATGTCCCCACCCTCTTAACAATGGAATTGGGGGAGTTTCACACATTTTTTCGATAAGCGGCAAGAGAAATGGAATTGCCCCCCCCCCCCCCCACATCCCTCTCCTAGCGGAGATTTTCTAAAATGCCCCAACAGCCAATGGCATAGGCCCTGCTCACAACAGGCAGCTTGAGCACTTGCGCCACGCCACCGATGACTCCCTTTTTGCTGGGGGGACCAGCAACTCTAAGAAGCAGACCTCTGAAAGTAGAACATGCTGTGGATGGACGAATCCTGCACCATGTAACAAACCCTGGAATGATGATTCCCCTGTACATACCAACACTCGTTATGGTTTCAACATGCTTTTCAGGTGGTGCGAGAAGCGGATGTTGTCCACCCACAGTATGTTTTGTGCACCGGGCCCTCAATAACTCAAACCCTCCAAAAGGGAAATACGTCGCAGGCAGGTGCCGCTGCTCTTGAACTACCAGACCCATCCCCACGTGCTCATCGCCTCGGCGGTGATTTGCTCCGGCTCCATGCCGCCCGGCTCTGCAACGACTCGGGGCGGGGATCTGGACTGCTGTGGGTGCCTCCAACCAAAATACGGAAAGCAAAGCAACCATACACTGGGGTCATGATTTTGATGATTTTTGGGGGTTATCAAAGTCAGAAAATGTGGTTGTTTCCCTTTAGGGGGTGACTTTGATCATGGTAAAACAATGAGGCCAGGAAATACAGGAAACACACACAAAACAAAAACATCGTAAGACATGGTAAATTACAGTTGCCGTGCTTCCTTCCAATCTGGCAGATCCAGCGTATTGGGTTGGACCTTTTTTTTCACTTTTGGCTGGTTGGACCTTTGGCTTTCAATTGTGGCTGGATCACGGTTTGTGTTTGCCCTGCAACAGCTCAACTTTCTGTGGGCAAGCCACCAAGGGAAGCGGGAGTGTTTCTTACGCGCCTCGGAAAATCCGGGCCTTCGCATTGCTGGGCGACTCGCCCATACTCCCCCCGCCTCCCTCCGCATACAAAATCGACAGCAAGAGCACGGGATCAGGGGAGCGGATTGTGATAAGTGACAATTGGGACTTTTTTTTTTTGGTTGATTTGTGTTACATAAACAATTCATGTGTGTGTGTGTGTGCGTGTGTTTGGTGAGGGTGCCCTTTTTTGAGGTTTCAAGGAACACCAACAAGAGAACCACCCCATGTTTCAGTCCCCTTCGCGTGACAACACAAAAAAATGACGCTACTTCAGCCTTTCGAAGGCCGGGGCTTCTGAACCCCAGCAAGCTCTTGGAGAAGTGCCCGGACAGTGGCATCGTGCGTGCCCACCTCAGCGTCTCTAAACGTGGATTCCGTTTTTTGGTTTCGGTCGGAGATGGTGTCAGATGGTTTTTTCGGTGTTGGACGGTTGGCGTTGCCATTCCCAATGGGTTCCCCATGGGTTTGCCATTCTCAATCGTTTCCCATGGGTTTCCCATTCCCAATGGTTTCCCATGGGTTTGCCATGGGTTTGGCATGGATTTCCCATGGGTTTCCCAATGGGTTGTTCATGAGTTTCCCATGGGTTTCCCATGATTTTGCCATTTTTCATGGACTCCCCATGCATTTCCCCATGGGTTTGCCATAGGTTTGGTGTCAGGGTTTTTTCGGTGTTGGCGGTTTGACCGGCGGGTTGTCAAATCCCCCCAGGATGGGAAGCCCAGATTCGGCAGAGGCGGTTGACTTTGATCGTGGGGGTGGAAACCATCTCAAAGAGAGGTAAGTGTATCGCAAAACAACACCAAGGCTCCGAGTGGTGGCTCAACTCTTCTTTAAGCCAGAATCCAGGCCAGGTGTTTGTCCACTTGTCCATTCAGAGTTTCATTTTGGGCACTTCTTTCTGAGCACCCAAGTGTAAGATGCCTCGCTTTAGTATGGCAATCTTGTCCCCGAATCTAGCTGGTTAGAACAGTGCCGTTGCGGATCTATCCAGATTTACCGAGCCTTTCGTAGCTGAATGTAAATTAAATTGCTGCCTTCAAGCTGACACGACATGTGCACGGCATTTGTGGATAAAGCTGCCTGTGCGAGGCGAGAATTGCAACGACCATGTAGGTCCTTTACCTGATGGACCCTCCATTCGTTTCAGAGGTTTTGGACTATTGTTGCAAACAAATAACAAATGGAACATGCCTGACACTCCCGAACAAGCCTTTTGTTTGAAGAGTAGGGACATGCGTTGTGCCTTTGTCTCGAGGTCCTCATTGCGAGCGCCAAACCTGCTACGCGGATGGCTCCATCGACTTTGATATTCCCTCCTTGTGCCTCAGAATGCAGGGGCAAAACAAACTCCACGAAGATTTTGTAGGGCTTCGCTGGGGCCCCTCAAGGCGTTTCGAGGTCTCAAACAGTTGTTTGGGTGTGTCTTGTAATAAGTTAACATGTCGAGGGCAAGTTTGATGTTGCTTAAATGGGCCCAGTCATACGGAGGGCGGGTCTTGAGTTTTAGCGCCGCGTGGCGTTTCTCGAGTGCCATCTTTCGGTAGCCTGTTTTAGACCAACGCTATGGACAAAGGGCAAAATTATTGTTCGAAGGACTGGTTACCCATTCTTTTCAACCGTTTCGCTGGGTTTCCAAGAAGGTTTTCTAGAAGGAAGGATCCCTGGAATGGGGAGGTACTCCTAGAATGGTAGGCTTTCTCTGGGAGGTAAAAGGAAATCACCAGGGTCCATGCTTTTGGTTGCATGGTCCTTAGTCCCCAGTCACCAGGTTGCCACTTACTTCTCTGGCTCTGAAAGCAGCATCAGTATCTGAAAAATGTTCAGAGTACAATGCATTGTTCAGATATTATTGTTCCCTGTTGGTTTCTATCACTGCTGGAAATATGGGCCTGTCCTTTTTTGGCGGGTACCCGCGTTTTCATGATTTCAAAAGAAACTAAAAGGACCATGTCCACCAGTTTGGGGTCCCCAAAAAGAGCAAGTCATAGAGCAAGGACACCCTCCAATAAGCCGTAGTTGTCCATTTTTTTTGGTTGAGTTGGTTTACCGTAAGCCTGGCTACAACTTACTGAACGGAGACTTATAACCACGGCGTTTGTGGGTTATGTCCGTTTTTTCAATCCGGGACTCAGACTTTAGGCACTTGGGATTTTGGTGGCCATTTCAGTACGGGAATTGCAGAGTTTGTTTGTACCTGGACCCTCAAACTTCCCTTAAAAATGGGTTTAACCCCCAAAATTATGGGGTGATATCCAATTTTTATGGGTAGTTTGAGGGTCCAGGTATTTGGTTTGGTATTCGGTCGGTTTTTTTTTCTGCTTCGGGACGGATTCGCCCAGGCGGGATCGATCCGATTCCTTGAGGTCTTTGTCACAGGCCTTCGGCGTGCGCTACACCGTGGCGGTGCAGGTCAACCCCCACGCCCCTGGGGCCGAAGAAGAGGAACTGTGGTACCACCCCCGGAGACGCCCAGAGCCAATCAGGGCTAAAGAACTTGAATTCTGGGCTTGTCCGCATGTGGTACCCCGGGATAAGCCCAGAGCCAATCAGGGCGATTTTCAGGCCTAAGTAAGGTTTAACTGTCATGTTTGGTTTGGGGGTTAGTGGATGCGTGGATGCCCAAAAAAATACTGGACGTGGGTGGACGGAAGGGGGGCCTTGCCCTCCAATAACAACACCTCCCCATAGATTTTGTGGGTGCAAAGTGTCCCCAGCTGGTGTGGTGTTGGTAATTCGTAACTAGAGTCTAAGGATTGTGAAGAGAAGTTTCAGGGAAAAGGGGGTTGGCAAGTGAATTACCAAATACCCGCCTTTTTAGGGCATTGTTTGAAATACCTGGTTATCGTCCCACAATCACGGGGTGAATTCCCTTCTTTGGAGAGTCCTGGTACCGATTTGGGTGTGTCCTGTCTTGCGGCCCCCTCCCCAAAAGATCAAAAGAAAGTGGTTTAGCTTTTGGTTTCCGTGCAAAGCCCACAAAAAGGGGCACCCCAAAAATCGAGCCAGCCAAATGTCCCAAAAAGACATATGGTAGTTATACTTTGCCTTTTGACAGATGCTTCGCTGTTCTTGGCATGTTTTAGTTGTCTTTAGTTTCTTGGTTCTGTTCATTTTTACTGGGTCCTGGCAAAAAGAACCGTCAGTTTTTTGCCAGGCCATATGAAGAGTAGAGATGGATGGGCTAGCTCATGGCTCAATGAGGAAGCTTGGGAGAAGCGGAGGATCTCTTTCCGTGAGACCGATTTGCCCGACGCACTCCGACTTGCCACTTCTCGGGGGGTCCATTCCTAGATTTTTCCCCTTCTTGGGCGGTGCTTTTTGGTCCAAAGGTGGGTATCCCTGGTTGGGGGTGATGAATTTTAAGGGGAAAGATCGGGAGCCCTGCTTCTGGCGTTTCTCAAGACAAAGAATTGCCAGGGCCTGTGCTCCCTTCATGAAAGCGGACAAGAGGGTTGTGGAGAACTATTTCCCTTTGGAAGCCTTCTGCTATGATTCTGGCGAAGCTGTAACGTGTTCACCGGTCCGGGCTTGAAGACAAGCTCCCCAAAAACATCTACGGTCTTCTCTATTTCCGGTTTGTTCACTAGAGTCATTTGCCAAAGTTCGTGGACTGGACACTTTTCGGGAAGACCATTTTAGTGGCAAATCAACAGTTTGAACTTTATGTTGGCCAACCCACTCGGGAAGTGAGCATAGTAGGAAACCAGCAAACCGATCATGTAAAACCTAGTCACCAACTATAGTGGCAACTGGAGGCAGTTTGGTGCACATGCCTAAGGGCTTTGAGACGGGCGTTTGTTCGCTTCAGCTGATAGGGCTTTCCATCAAATTGATCCCCCGGACTGTCGGCTCACACGTCCAGGTTCCAATCAAAGGGTAAGAAGCTGCAACATATCTTGGTGGCTCTCAGCCATCCGGTTCCTTAGCTTGTTAGCCTTTTAGTGTTTAGTGGTAGTTTCCATTTAACCCACTAAAAGTTCAACATTTAGCGGGGGATCTGAGGACAGCCCAGATACGAGTCTGCCTTTTTTGCCTGCATGCAGTCAGCTATTTCAAGCCCGGGTGTCCAGCTTGCAGTTTGCTCGGCTTAGTGATCGGCTCAAGACCTGCATTTGGACATGGGAATGGCTCAACGTCTTCGCTTAAGCAGGCCCAGCCGATGTGTTACAAAGGGCATCACAGCATTCCCCAATTAAACTGACAAATTTCCTAATGCGTCCATTGCTCGATAATATGTTGTTTTCCCCCAGTTGGTTTTCAAGGGAATCTGCCACTCTACTGGACATTTGTTTCAGGAAACTTGAACGAAAGAGATGACAGTGGCACTTCGGAGACCTAAACCAGATGGGAATTGAGATGCCATTTGGTTCGCTTGCCAGGAAAAAGATCCGGGTGAGCACTGTGCCTGAAGCTCCCGCGATATTTTTCCACCCTTGGAACCAGAAAGGAGCTGGTGGACTGCCCTTTCGGCGTGTTTTTGTCCATCCATTTCGAGTCCAGTTTTATATATATATATATATCGGCAACCTTTGGTAGATCAGTGGTTTTCATGGCAAAGAGCTTCCTCCTTTTCAACGGGACTTCAACACATTGCCCGGACCACACTGAGTCCCAGACTCTGCGCAAGTCAAAGATGCGTTGACCGGGAGACGCTCTACCGGTCGCCGCTTCCAGCCCCCGGGATCCAAACCCAGCGGAACCCCCAGCCGCGGGGCCCCGCGGCCGCGGCTTCGCATGGAGCCTGCCGTGCCGGGCGTGATGGACGTGGAGCCAGAGCCTGAAGAGGCCGAGGAGCTTGAGCAAAACGAGTCGCACATGAGCCACACAAGAACAAGTCATAGAACAAGGAAACCCTCCAATAAACCGCAGAATGTCCATGTTTTAGCGCGTGAGTTGGTTGGTTCACTTGCAAAATGGTACTTAAAGAGGTGATCGATTCGGCACGTCATGGTTATTACCCGCAAACTAAGTACCCGATCGGCCCTTTTAAGTAGGGAAACAAGTGTGTTTTTCATGGGAGGCTCTCAGAAGATCCTCCTGTGCGCTTGGGGAAACGAGGGTTAAGCCAGCAATTTGGACTGGGCCTCCTATTCTGTCATGTGAGTCTTGGTTTAAGAAAGCCCTCTTGAAAGAAACATGTGAAATGTCGCCATGAAAAGCTAAACCGGCTTTCCTAAGACATAGGGCTGACCACGTTTTACATGGGTCGGTTTTGGAAAAAGTTGAGTATCAAAATACTCCTTTTTCTAGCTAGTTTACTCCGGAGCTGGGACAAGCCTTGGGAGCCGAATTGGACATTTGGTTAGGGACGAATGGTGGTTTTTTTTGGGCTTCCCTTTAAACCAAGCCTCAAAAGGGTACATGGACCCTCCAACTACACGAAGATATGTTGGTTATTGGCCTCAACTTCATGGGGTGATTTCCATTTTGTAAGGATGGTTTGGGGGTCCCGGTACCCTCAGAAACAGACACACACCATGGTAGATGGAGGGTGCCCTCATTTTTTGCCGAGGAGCTGGCGCGGGATCTGGATGAACACTTGGTGTGGCGGAAGAATGCGCCGCTCTTGTACGACCTTTACATGGAATGCACCTGGGCGGTTCTGGAATTTTCCGATCCCTCCATTTTGCTTGGCACGAGCATGCACACACACTTTTTTGCCAAGCCATAAGGGTCAGGCGGTCGCTCAGTGCGGTCCAAATCCTGTCGCTTAGTGCGGCGCAAATCCTGTCGCTTAGTGCGGCGGTCACTTTCACCTTCACGGGACCGTTGAGCCCGTGTGGCCCGTTGAGCCCGTCGGGCCTGTTGGGCTGTTGGGACCGCTGGGCCCGTTGGGACCGTTGAGCCCGCTGTGCCCGTTGGGCCCGTGGGGCCTGCCCGTTCGGACCGCTGAGCCCCCTGCTCTGGCTCGTCTTGGCTCGCTTTACTTTTCTTTACAAGAACTTACATGTGTTTAGACACGTGCCAAAAGTGTGGTTTTACCTGCATCTCGGAAGGTTCGCGGAAGGCTCGCGGAAGGTTCGCGGAAGGGCGAGGCGGAAAACTGTTTTTTGGAACAAGGCTCACGAATATATGTATGTTGTGTTATGTATGTGTTTGTAATGTAATGTGATGTATGCGTGTATGTATGTTGTGTATGTTATGTATGCAATGTACGTAAGTATGTATGTTTTATGTATGTATGTATATATGTATGTATGTATGTATGTATGTATGTATGTATGTATGTATGTATGTAATGAATGTATGTATGTACGTACGTACGTACGTATGTATGTATGTTGTGTTGCGTTGTGTTGTGTTGTGTTGTGTTGTGTTGCGTTGCGTTGCGTTGTGTTGTGTTGTGTATGTATGTATGTATGTATGTATGTATGTATGTATGTATGTATGTATTTATGTACGTATATGATATGTGTATGTATGTATGTATGTATGTATGTATGTTTGTATGCATGCATGCATTCATGTATGTGTGTATGTACGTATGTATGTATGTAATGTAATGTAATGTAATGTAATGCAATGTAATGTAATGTAATGTATGGTATGGTATGGTATGGTATGGTATGGTATGGTACGGTACGGTACGGTACGGTATGGTATGGTATGATATGTATATGTTATGTTATGTTATGTTGTGTTGTGTTATGTATGTATGTGTGTATGTAGTGTATGTAGTGTGTAGTGTTGTGTATGTAACATAATGTAATGTAATGCAACGTCGTGTATGTGTGTATGTATGTTATGTATGCTATGTACGTATGTATGTATGTTATGTGAGTATGTATGTAATGTATGTATGCGTGTGTACGTGTATGCACGTATGTATGTATGTTATGTTATGTTATGTCCCCTGCTCTGGCTCTTCGTCTTGGCTCGCTTTACTTTTCCTTTACAAGAACTTACATGTGTTTAGACACGTGCCAAAAAGTGTGGTTTTACCTGCATCGCGGAAGTTCGCGGAAGGTTCGCGGAAGGGCGAGGCGGAAGACTTTTTTGGAACAATGCATATGGGGTAAACTTCATGTATATATGTATGTTATGTTATGTTATGCTTTTTTACGCTGCGCTATGTTATGTTATGTTTTGTTATGTTATGTTATTATGTGTGTAGTGTTATGTATGTTTTGTAATGTAATGTAATGTGACGTAATGTATGCTATGTACGTAAGTATGTAGGTTATGTATGTATGTATAATATATATATATATATATGTGTGTGTATGTATGTATGTATGTATGTATGTATGTATGTATGTATGTATGTATGTATGTATGTATGTGTTTAATATATGTAATATGTGTAATTTGTGTATGCATGTATGTATGTTTGTAATGTGTGCATGTTATGTTATGTTTTGTTATATGTTTTGTTATGTTATGTTATGTGGGTAATGCGATGTATGTAGTGTATGTATGTAATGTAATGTAGCGCAACGTAGGCCCGCTGAGCCCGTTGGGCTCGTCGGGCCCGTCGGGCCCATTGGGCCTGTTGGGCTTGTTGGGCCCGCCGGGGTCGTTGGGACCGCTGGGCCCGTTGGGCTTGTTGAGCCCGTTGAGCCCGTTGGGCCCGTTGAGCCCGTTTGGCCTGTTGGGCGCGTTGGGCCCGTTGAGTTCGTTGGGCCCATTGAGCGCGTTGGGCGTGTTGAGCCCATGGAGCGCGTTGGGCCCGTTGATTTTATTGAACTGACCGGTTTAACACCTGGGTTCTGACTGCACTAAGTGACGGGTTTTTTGCTGCACTAAGTGACCTGTTTAACACTTGGGTTCTGACTGCACTAAGTGACGGATTTTTTGCTGCACTAAGTGACCTGCTGACCAGCCATAAGCCACGGCTCGCCGAAGGCAGAAGCCGAAGGTGGGGCTCGCCATAGCTCGCTTGACCAACTGCCATCCCCAAGTCGCCACGCTTTTTCCGGATCGCTCGCTGAACTTGGGCCCCCGGGCTCTGGGAAGACCCAACTAGGTCTCCAGCCGGGTGCCCTTTCTCACCCTCTTGGGGGGAGGGCTGGAGGTAGGTTACCCTTATGACCTAGCCAAGGTAGGTGTTACGGCTGAATCATGGTTGTTGTTGGGAAACATTTGAATACATGTTTGATCTTATTGTGGTTGAGTGGTGGAAATCCAAATCCACTGAACTGCTAAAATTTGAGAGCTGTTGCTCCCCAAGCCCAACGTCAACCAAGTATTTAGTGGTAAGCAAGAGCCATTGGATCTTTTTTGCCAATGCGATGGGAGGTGAGACCAGCGAAATGGCCGGCTTTTCCTGAAATCAGGCTAGCCCTTGCCCCTGGAGTCCTGCGAAAGCCATCCTGTTGTAATTTGGGTTTCACCTTTGCCTGACACCAAATTGCCAAATGAAGGTCAAGGGATCTCCGGCGACCCTACCCGGCGGGCTAAACCCTTTGTTTGGTTCTTCGCCTGTGGTTTCAAACTACCAATGGCTTGTCGAGTGGATAGAAAAGGCGGTTTCTGTGTTTCTGGATTCTGAATGGATATCCACAAACACGGATATCCACAAACCACCATGCCTCATTTCCTCTTCTTCTTGTTTTTGTTGGGGGGGGGTGAGCCCAAAGGGTTGCGAATGCACCGCCCAAAGTTTCTAGTCTTTCTCGGCTTTTTCTGTGGGGGTTGCAGATCCTTTCATTGCAGACAAGATTGCCCCGGCCGCTGGTTTTCGGGCTTCTTTAGTGAACTCCTGACCAAAAAGCGAGGTTTTCCATATGGAAAGCCAGGTTTGGCAAATGCAGCAACTCAAGAACGTGGCTATTCTTGGTACATGAAGGGGAAGGGGAAGGGGAAGGAAGGGGAAGGGAACCACCCGAATGTACAAGCACGTGGCCCGTGCCGAAGCCATCCTCGTTGTGGGGCTCAAATGTTGGGCCTTGGCATCCAGCATGTTGACAGTCTCTGCCGGGGGGGGGGGGGGGAAAAAGCGATCAGCTTTTGGGCCCAAAGCTGGAAACCCGGAAAAAGGGGACACCGAAAACTGAGTTGCAAGCGAATCGGCCGAATCCGAGCTTTTGGTTTCTCCATTTTGGCCTAGTTTTAGTCATGGCCCCAAAAGGTGATCACCTTTGATTTCTGGGTCCCAACTGGGCAAGTGAGCAGTACAGCAGCCCATGAAACCCCTGCGGCAACCACCTTAGATTCATGTTGTGTGAATGGCTTTTTTGACGCGAGTCACCTTCAATGTTGACCTCGGATTGATGAACCTGCCTGGATCCCAGTTGCCCTTATTTTCCAGCTACTTGTGCCAAATTATCGGCTACTAGTGGGTAAAGTGGCTGGTAAGAAGAGGCTACTTGGGGATCCAGGTGGTTGAGTTCCACTCAAAGAAAAGGTGTCCCCCAATGAATCAACCTGGGGCCAGGGGTAGGGGTCCAAGACTTGGCCGGTAGCGAAGAAACCATCGGTCTGGGCCTCTTCCATACCAAAGCTTCGCCCCTACTCAGGGCTTGGCGCAACCCACTAGACAAACTATAGCATATACCCCCTCCAATACCTGCAGCTTTTGGGGTATGTACGGAAAAAGATGGGCTTGCATGGTAAATACCATCCCTTTTTAAGCAAAGAGCTGACAATCATACCCTTCAAATAGGTAGGTATTTGGGGGTGGGGAGTTGCGAAGGTACCTTGCTTGGAAACCGGGACCTGCTGGATAATCCCAAGGATGCCCTAACCAAACAACAAGAATCCCAGATGTCCTACTCAGTGCCGACCTGTTTACCTTTTGGTTTCCCTGACTTGGCACCCATCTTTAGTCATGGCCCCAAAAGGTGATCACCTTTGATTGTTGGGTCCTTTTGGGCAACTGAGCAAAGAACCCATTGACTTCACTGTTTTTTTCGGCAAGTTTTAGGCGTTTTGTTTTTGTTGGTTCTGTTTATTTTTAGTAGGGGGCTGCCAAAAGCAGTCAGTTTGTGTTGCAAATCCATGCCAAGGTTTGGAGTTTGTGGCCCCAAAATGCCTAAGGTTTTTCTGACATTCAGTTTCCCCCTTGTTCATGCGATGTAAAGTTCTCAGCACCCTTGGTCAGGTAGCCCTCAATTGGTGGTTTGGTTGGGGATTTGAGCCCTTGGTTCTTGTACAGGGTAAATGGGACACCACCGCTTGACCACCAAACCACCAATCAGAGGGAAGCTGATGTGGCCTGGAAATTCGTTTGTCTGGGGGTTGACCTTTGGTTGCCCTGTTGATCCATGTGTGGTTTCCAAGCGTGCCAAGGTACAACCCCCCCTTTTACATACCGCTTGGACAGTGAACCCAAAAAACCAGCTGATGTTCATACCCCTCTCCACAACAGGGGTATATACCCCTTACAAAGTGGGTTGGAAACCACGGAGGGGTATGAACAAGGGGTATGTACTTCCACCCAAACTTCCACCCTTAGATAACCTGGTTGTCTCAAGGGTTGCAAAGTTCAGCATTCGGTTTTTCCAACCGAGGCATCCTCACCTGGCCCGCGCAGAGTATCGCCTGGCTGGCGGACGAGGAGTCTTCCTTGACCAAGCTGGCGCTGGGCTCGCGCACGGACGGCGCACTGGCGGGATCTTGATCCGGCCCCCTTACTTGGGGCAATGTAGCCAATTAAGGGCGTAACACCCTACACTCCAAATGTTGCATGTTTTTTTTGGTCAACCCTCTACTGAAAAAGCGGTTTGTCTGCTTCTTTTGGGGGGGAACCCTCTCCCCCCTTGCCTTGGCTATCTGAGTCTGGATTTCTGGGAGGGTTTTTAGAGGGAAACCAACAGAAACGGGGGGAAGAACCAACCCAAAGAGTGCAGCCGAGTGTGGTTCCTGTTTTGGAGTTGGCCAGTTTTGGGTGGTTTTTTCGCGAAACCAAAAGGACAATCGGGGGGGTGGGGGCAAAAAGGACTCAGCCTTGGATTTCCGTGGGGGCAACCCCCTTGAAAACCTACCAAAAATTGTCGAAGTACCTCAGGTACCAAAGGACTCTTTGGGTGGCATTTTTTGCCCAAGACAAACTTCCATTTGCTTGAGAATATGTTTATTTCCCCTTGTTTGTTTTAAAGGGAATCGATTTCGCTACTGCACATATCTTTGCATTTTGCTTGGATGTTAGGACTTTAACTTTTTGCCAACGAATGGGGTTTCCATTCAACCACCAAAACTTAAACTTTTAGCAGGGGAGCGGAAAGCAACCGAGATATACTCTCATTTTTGCAGGGCTTAAGCGAATGAAAGCCAACCCACGCGGGCTCAGCTCACGACGAGGATCCGAGCCGTGCCGAGTGATGGTGCTGGAGCTGTCGTGCCAAGTGGCGGAGGCGGAGTCGGACCCATGGAGGAGCCACCTAGCCGGATCTCTGTGAAGGGGCAGGGTACTTGTTAAGTGCTTAGTAACCATGGTTATTATCTACTTAATGTTGACCCCGGATTAATAAACCCCTGCTTATTAATATGGGGGTGTTCCCTCCAAAAGTAATAAATCCCCACCTAAACCGGGGACACCCCCCATATTAATAAACAGGGGTATATTAATCCGGGGTCAACATTAGTATGTACCCTGTCCCTTTAAGTAGTCAGCGGCAAACACTCGCTGCCCGAGAAATCCGGGACTCGAACTTTAGGTACCTTTTCGGATTGTGGCTGCCGTTTTAGTACGGTAAATGCACAGTTTGTTTGTATTTGTTGGAGCTAATGATACCCTAAAACAAAAGGGTATTCGGAGGGTATCCTAAACCCAAAAGCATGATTTGTTGGCCCAAACCTGCCGCTAACATGATACCCCAAGCATGACGCCTTGCATGACACCCTATATTAGTGGATCTTTCCCTATATTGGTGGATCTTTCCAGGGTGGACCGATATTTTTGCCGCCTTGTTGGCCCATCCAAGGTGAGTTCTCTTGGGGTGATGCTCAGTTTGGTTCTTGAAGAGGCAGCCTGAAGGAGGGTTCTTGCCAGGTTTCACCATGGATGGTTTGACAGGTGGTACTGTCCTTGCTGGTCTTCAAGACAAACCATCTCCAGGTAATGTTCCAGGAGTTGTTTGCCCACAGAAAAGGGAATTCACCACAACAAGGTTGTGCTGTGGAGTGGTTCCTGAAGTAGAGAAACGGAAAGCCGTTAACAGTGCTTTAGTGCCAGTCTTGTTGAATTTCCCAAGGTGTGTATTTTTGGAGGGTGTTGCTTTGGGTAGCGCATTTTTAGGGAACCCAGCCCCCCCAAAAAATAGAAAAGAAACAAAACAGAAAACACATTTGTTGGGAGGATGTTTGGTTGGTGTCCCCATTTTTTCCACAGGATGCCTAAATTCCTGCTGGACAACTGCCCCAACTGCACATGACACCAGCGGCTGGTTCTGGGGGTCAGTTCCTCACTTCCTGAGATCATGGACTTGAAACTGTTTGGTTCTGACCATGTTGGTGGCAAACAAAAAATGAACTCTTTTTTGGAAAGACCATTTTGGTGGTAAGCAACAAGTTTGGACTTTTTTGAGGTTCAGACCATTTTGGTGGTAACCAACAAAAACCAAACTTTTTTTCTGACCATGTTGGTGGTTAAACAGTTTGGTGGTGAACAACCAGTTTGGCGCCACTTCGGGCCATTGTTGGCCCATTTTTGGTGGTGAACAACCCCCACGCCCACCCCCACCCCCACCACCCCACACCCCCCGACCCCACACCCACCCCCCCCCCCCCCCCGGCACCCCCCACCACCCCCGAACCCCCACCACCCCCGAACCCCCAGTTTGGCGTCCCACGCCACTTCTGGGCCATGCGGCGCTCGAGGCTGGGAGCTGCCGCTGGGCCACGCCCACGGCTTCGGGCTGAAGGGCATCAGGGAGGCGCCGCCCATCGGCGACGCGGCGTGTTTTCAGTAGCGATCGATGGGTACGTCAGGGAAGTGGCAAGTGGTGGGAAGTGGTGGGAAGTGGTGGGAAGTGGTGGGAAGTGGCGGGAAGTGGTGGCAAGTGGTGGGAAGTGGTGGTAAGTGGTGGGAAGTGGTGGGAAGTGGCGGGAAGTGGTGGGAAGTGGGAAGTGGTAGCAAGTGGTGGGAAGTGGTAAGTGGTGGGAAGTGGTGGGAAGTGGTGGTAAGTGGTGGGAAGTGGCAAGTGGTGGGAAGTGGTGGGAAGTGGTGGGAAGTTGTGGGAGGTGGCAAGCGGTGGCAAGTGGTGGCAAGTGGTGGCAAGTGGTGGCAAGTGGTGGCAAGTGGTGGCAAGTGGTGGGAAGTGGTGGGAAGTGGTGGGAAGTGGTGGGAAGTGGTGGGAAGTGGTGGGAAGTGGTGGGAAGTGGTGGGAAGTGGTGGAAGTGGTGGGAAGTGGTGTCAAGTGGTGGCAAGTGGTGGCAAGTGGTGGTAACTGGTGGGAAGTGGCAGGAAGTGGTGGTAAGTGGCGGTAAGTGGTGGTAAGTGGTAAGTGGTGGTGAGTGGTGGGAAGTGGTGGGAAATGGTAAGTGGTGGTAAGTGGTAAGTGGTGGTAAGCGGGAAGTGGTGGGAAGTGGTGGGAAGTGGTGGGAAATTAGGAAGTGGTGGGAAGTGGGAAGTGGTGGGAAGTGGTGGGAAGTGGTGGGAAGTGGTGGGAAGTGGTGGGAAGTGGCGGGAAGTGGTGGTAAGTGGTGGCAAGTGGTAAGTGGTGGGAAGTGGCAAGTGGTGGGAAGTGGTGGCAAGTGGTGGCAAGTGGTGGCAAGTGGTGGCAAGTGGTGGCAAGTGATGGCAAGTGGTGGCAAGTGGTGGGAAGTGGTGGGAAGTGGTGTCAAGTGGTGGCAAGTGGTGAAAGTGGTGGTAAGTGGTGGGAAGTGGTGGGAAGTGGCGGGAAGTGGTGGTGCTGATGATTAGGAAGTGGTGGTAAGTGGTAAGTGGTGGGAAGTGGTGGGAAGTGGTGGGAAGTGGCGGGAAGTGGTGGTAAGTGAGTGGTGGGAAGTGGTTGGAAGTGGCGGGAAGTGGTGGTAAGTGGTGGGAAATTAGGAAGTGGTGGGAAGTGGTGGGAAGTGGTGGGAAGTGGTGGGAAGTGGCAGGAAGTGGTGGTAAGTGGTGGCAAGTGGTAAGTGGGAAGTGGTGGGAAGTGGTGGGAAGTGGTGGGAAGTGGTGAAGTGGGAAGTGGTGGGAAGTGGTGGCAAGTGGTGGCAAGTGGTGGCAAGTGGTGGCAAGTGGTGGCAAGTGGTGGCAAGTGGTGGGAAGTGGTGGGAAGTGGTGTCAAGTGGTGGAAAGTGGTGGTAAGTGGTGGGAAGTGGTGGGAAGTGGTGGTAAGTGGTGGTAAGTGGTGGTAAGTGATGGTAAGTGGTAGTTGGTAACTTGGTAAGTGGTTAACGGCTATAACCTACTGAATGGGACGTCTGGTAAGTGGTTTGTTTGGTTAGAAGTCGATGGGTTCTGATGTATTTGGTGGCTCCCAGCCATCCGGTTCAGCTTAGCTTTTCTTTTAGCCTTTCAGTGTTTTTGGTGGTAGTGTCCGAGTTTAACCCACTGAAAGTTCGTCACTTTTGGTGGGGGATCTGAGGGCAGAGGTTTCGATGGGGGGGCTGAGATGCCATGCACCGATCTCAAGGGTCACCTCCCGTGGCAACTGCTTGGGAGCCTGGTGAAGTCAGCGACAGGGAGACGAGGTCCCCCAGTGCCCTTGTACCGTTTCTTTTTGGGTTGGGAGATTCGGTTCCCCATAGACTACAGAAGAAAGTGTGCCGATCCGTTTGTTCCGTGGGTCCCCCACTGCCCTTCTCCCTTTTGCCGTTTCTTTTTTGGGGGAGGTTCGGTTCCCCTACTAAAATAGACTACAGCAAAATGTTGGTACCCGTATTCTATCCTCTCTGGAGGGCCTAGACTTCTAATCCTGGCCCTTGTGAGTTATAAGTCGTTGGTTAGTCTCCTGAACGGAGACTTCTTTTTGACCATGGCCATGGCAAGTGGGCTATCACACCATGGTTGTTATCCACTTAAGTACCCGATCGCCCTTTAAGCAGTTGCTTAGTGGTGCCTTGTTCCCCTTTTTTGGGAAGGGTTCCCTTCAAAGCTCAACGAACAAAAAACGGATGCCCTTCTTTCCCATGAAAATCTACTGGGCATTTGAGTGGCTTGGGGTTGCCGGTTTGGGGGAGGGAGGGGTGGGGCAATGGAAAGCTGCCGGATGCTAAGACTCAAAATTCCGATCCAGTGGGTAGGCAAGTGCTCAAACTGTTTTTGGCCCCAAAATGGGAACTTAGGGAGTGAGAATACAAGGGGCTATTTGAGTAGATGGTTGGGTGTGGGGTACCATAAAACTAGACTAAGGTATGACACCACGGGAACGGTTCCCTGGTGTCAACGCTGCTGTCATTTCATGGTGCTCCTGGTCCGTATTCAGTATAGTGGGAATGTCAGGTATGATCAAACACCATCACTTTTTTCGGTTGGCGTCGTGCTTCTTTGAGGGGCATGTGAACCTATTTCAAGCATCCCCTCCACCCCCCCCATCCCCACCGCCCCCCATCCCCACCCCCCATCCCCACCCCCCATCACCCCCCATCCCCACCACTCCACCCTCCTCCCCACCCTCCCCCACCCACACTCCCCCCCAACCCCCTCCCCTTAACCTCCTCCCACCTCCTCACGACCCCACCCCCAACCTCCTTCCCCCCCCCATCCCCACCGCCCCGCATCCCCACCCCCCACCCACCCCCCCACCCCCACCCTCCCCCCATCTCCCGAGGCGTGGTGTCCGAGATGGTGGTGGACTCGGAGGTGAACCGCCTGGCCGCCTGCCCCACCTCCTCCCACCTGCTCGCGGTGAAGGGCAGCTGTGGCACCGCTCCTAAGAGCGAAAAACAGGCGTTGTTTTCCAGTTGCTTAAGACGTGTTTTTGTTTCCCCCCCTTTTGGCTTTAAAGGGAATCGTTATTTTGTTATTTTCCCCTTTTGGTTTTAAAGGGAATCGATCTCACTACTGGACATTTTTTCCCGGGGTTCTTAACCAAACAGAAGTGGTCTCCGTGTGCCGTTCCGTCTGTTCCGTGGGTCCCCCACTGCCCTTCCCCCTTTTGCCGTTTCTTTTTTGGGGGAGGTTCGGTTCCCCTACTAAAATAGACTACAGCAAAATGTTGGTACCCGTATTCTAACCTCTCCACTGGGGACCTTCCGTTTGCTCCTTTCAAGGGGGGGTTCCCTGAAAAAACCGACCTACAACGACTGTGTTTTCTTTTTTCTAGTCAGTCACCACTGAAAAATCCTCGCTCCATTCAACGGTACAGGGGCCGAGGTCTGCCGATGTCCGAGGCTGAAGCGGGGAAACGGCGCTGATACACACACTGGTTCTAAATGGATTTATTTTAAGTTGAAACGTTCCATTGCTCAATACTGCGGATGGTTGCGAAATCCATTTCGCGCCACTTGAGAAACCATGGGAAACCATTGCATGTTGGTATTAATACCCTAATGGTCATGGAATTTCAGGTCTGTGAAGAGGGTTCTCTTCAAATCGACGTCCAAAAATGTTTTCTCCATGACCACTGGTCGTTGGGACCCAATGTGGACGGTTTTCGAAATCCACATCTCGCGCCACGAAGGAAACCATGCTTGAATCCACAACGTTCATTGGTATTTACAGGGGCATCCTCAGAGACCTCGCCATCCGCAGTATGTTTTTGATCCTCCTCTGCCTTTGGCTTACTCCTTGAGTCCTGGACTCTAAACTTTTTGGGTTCTGACCATTCTTGTGGTAAACAAAAAGTTTGGACCGGCCCTTGTTTTGTCCAATCCCCTCAGCAAGTGAGTTGACAGAAATCATGTTGACTGGAAACATGTTTGTCCAGGGGGCGGAAAATGCAAATGGAGGCGTGTGGTTTGGAAACCGTCCCATCCCAAGGTGTTTCTACCCGTTGTATTATTTATGTTTTGTACCAGCCAAAACGGTTGCTTCGGCTTCCCTTTGGTTTCTCTCCCGGAAAAGCTATGAGGGTTTGTCTCAAATGAAACACACCGGCGAGTGAACCAGTCGCTACCTGGCTACAGTCCTCAATTTTTGGACCTCCCACCTGGCGATCGTTTCAGGGAAACCCTCCATAACACCTGCCTTTGTTCTCGGGAGCTGTCTTTGGTCTGACGCGCTCACTCAGGGAACCGGGGGAACCGGGGGACGGACTCCGCTGAAAAAAGGAACGCCCTGGAGCTCGTGGACTTGAAGCTAACCGATTTGAGTGGCAAACCCATGGGTGGTTGTTTGGTGGTTGTTGGGTTCTTGGGTGGTTGTTGGTTGTTGTTGTTTTTTTTTACATTTGTTTGATCTTACTGTGGTTTAGTGGTTGAAATCCAACCACTGAACTGCTAAAACTTACATATTTGTTTGCTCCCCTTCCAACGTCAACCAAGAACCAAAGGTTTGGGATTGGTTCCGCTTTTTGGGCCAGTCTTCATCGGAAGTCAGTCTTGAAAGCAACACCGACGGCGCACAAAACGAGATCGGCCCTCCCACGCCTCGACTGTCCTCATGGAATTTGCGTGGGGCGGTGTTCCAAACGTGAGGAAAAGCGTGGCAGTCAGAATGCGGTGGATGGATGCCAGTTCCGTTCCTGCCATGTTGCGAGTAGGGGTAACAAGAAACCCTCAACTTGAATGAATACGGAGTTGTCCCCTTTTTCGTGGAAAATCACTTTTGAGGGGGCCACCCCTACTCAAAGTATGGGCTTATGAATCCGCGGTGAACCTCACAGTAAGTTAGCCGGTGTTATGCGGTCGAGTATGGCTGGTCTGTTCGCACTGAGGTCCTTTTCCAGCTGTACCTTCCCCATTCTCTTCAGGGATCCTTCTCTTCAAAGAACAGGCCAAATCCCTGGGAAGATGGGTGGATTCTAAAGAGAACGATGGGTGAAGAGAACGGGGAATCAACCCTTAGACCTTCGATGCAATGTTCACCTTTCGACCGGAGATTTGAGCTCCACCTGTTTGGCATTCTGTGCTATGTGGCGAGGGGCATGGCCACCCAGCAAGAAAGTGGCTAAACATTTCTGGCTGAGGCCGCTGGTTTACATACCCACTACTCCAAATACCCGTTTTTGCATGCGTTTTTTTTGAACAACCTGGTTTTGCAGGAGAAATACCTCCTTCTTTAGGGTGAACATCAAATCCTATCATAGCCTCAAGAGAGTGGGTGGGTAGAGGTACTCAGGCACTTGGGGTTTGACCGCAGCCGCGCGGAGGTTTGGCTTTTTGACCACCGGGAGCCTGCCGCGCCAAAGACCGCCTTCCGCACCGGGGAGGATGTAGAAGGCCCAGCCGGTTTCAGTGCCAGTGGCTGGTCGGTTCTAAGATCTTGAAAAAGCTTGTCTTCAACTAGCACCAATTGGATTTTGTTTTATGTTTTTTGTTGTCCAATATAACAAATCTGTGACTTCGTTCATTGAGTTTCGCGCAGGCGCCTTGTTTGGATTCGCCAATCAAGTTCAACCAACCTTTCAGTCAACTGTTGGGGTTCAAGGCTTCAAGCCTTTGGCATTCTTTTGAAGCATCAGGAAGTGAGCGCGGAGATGCGATGGGGGTTTTGCCTTTACCTTTGAAGCTCGTTTGCTTGGCTGTTCAACGTACTTGGGAAGTAACTTATAACCATGGTAATAAAGCAACCAACCCAAGTTGTGGCACTTATGAACCTTATGAGCTGCTAAGTGGGTTGAACATTCAAGTAACGCGCCGGAAGTCAAAGTCTCTCGTTGGAATTGGTCATAGTGAGGAATCTGTTAGCAAATGAAGTTTAAATTGCAGCCCTTGCTGGGGCTGGGGAAGCTCCAAAGGTGTCTGCCTTCTGAGGGAATGGCGGTGTTCCCCTTGGTTTCCCTCAAAAACGCCTCAAGTAACAGGTACCCCTTCAAAAACACGCCAAGTGTGTGCCAACTGTGCCAAAACCTGCCGCGGGGGAGGTGTTCTCTGCCCAAATGAACATGTCCTTTTGGGGGATTTGTTCGTTTTCGGTTTTCGTTTTCAATCGTGCCAGGTTCTGGTATCTTGGGTAATCAGCAATAATATTCGCTTAACCTGATGTTCGGACACTTGCAGCCACTTGCAAGTTTGGAGCGCATTTGCTTGACCAACATTCCCCCAAGCATGTTGTGTTGGCAACTGCGTACTTGGAGTAGGGGATCAAGAAAGGTTTCCTAGAGCTTCCCTGGTTAAATGGGCTAAGTAGTTATAGCAGGGGATGTTACTTGGATATTCGGCAAAGATAGTAAGTGGTTTGCCACTTGGGTTCTATCCCACTAATAACAGGGTTAACCCCACCTGGGGGGGGATGTATAAGTGGGTTATGGTCTAGGTTACTTTTCGACTTACTAACTTGAGGTGTTCTTTTCTTCGGGTCCAGGATAACACTCCCCTCCAAATCCCGATTCCAGCCATTTTGAGCTATCATGTTCACCTCCAGGTTTTGACCCTGCCATGCTCCAACGGCAGGCTACCCTACATGCCTACTCTAAATACTTCCGCTCGGCAAAGATGGTGGATCCTGGCTTGTAAAAACTTACGGTCAACCACTTGAAGTCGTGCAAATCTTCAATTTCGCGGCCCTTTTTTTCTTTCTCCATACAAGTGCACAAATATGGTGCAGCGGTGAGCCAAAGGGACGGTGTTGGGGCACTAGGTTCTGCCACCTTCCATTTGCCTTATTTGACCTCATAGGTTTTAAAGGGAATCCATCACTCGTGGAAATGTTTTTTTTAGGGGACTTAAGCAAATTGGCTAGCGTTTTCTTGGATAAATTTACAAGAGGATTTCGCCATGGTTTCGACCAGGTGGTTCAACATATGCCCTCAAGCACCGGATAAAATAGGCCACCCTCAAAGTAGCTCGTTTCTAGACTGGATAAGACTAGCCGAGCCATGCTTGGTTCAGAATAGTTTCGCGGACCCTTATACCATGGGTAGATTACCCAGTGCCTCCAGTTGCCAGAATAGCAGGTAACCAAGCTTAATAGCTTCCCCAGATTGCCTACGAAACTATTGACTGCAAGCCTGGGTTAGATGAGAGAGTCGGCTTCCTTGATTACTTCCTAAGTTTAATGTGGGCACCCACCGTAGCCGAACTTTTGTTTGCTTTGCGATCGTTTGGGCGAGACTTGGCGCTATGCGCGTCAATGTGGTCTTGCCAAATGGGACTAGCTGCCCCATTGCAGTGGCGCCGGAGTCGACAGTCCGAGAACTGAAGGTTTCGGCGCAACAGCACTTCCAACGCTCTCTGAGGCTCGCCTTCGGAGGTCAGATGCTGGACCCATCGTCTACTTTAGTTGAGGCGGGTTTAAGAAATGAGGACAGTGTGACTGCAATAGTGCAGCCTTTCAAGCGGCTAGCTTCCACAGGGCAAGCCTTCGCCCTGCATGAAGATGGTGGCACAGCACTCGCTTGGGGCTCTCCTCTATATGGTGGTGACATCCGCCAAGTGAAAGATCAGTTAAGGCAGGTCCAGCAAATCCAAGCAAATGTCGGTGCTTTTGCTGTCATGCTGGGCGATGGCTCGGTGGTGACGTGGGGCTGTCGAATCTACGGCAGTGACAGCAGCCAAGTGCGAGAGCAGTTGGTGCGTGTCCAGCAAATACAAGTTACCGCAAAAGCTTTTGCTGCAATTCTGGACGACGGCTCTGTGGTGACTTGGGGCTCCTCCGCCGAAGGTGGTTACAGCAGCCAGGTGCGAGAGCAATTGCTGCGGGTCCAACAGATCCAAGCGACTATGGCTGCTTTTGCTGCCATACTGGCCGACGGCTCTGTGGTGACTTGGGGCCATCCTGCTTATGGCGGTGACAGCAGCCAGGTGCGAGAGCAGCTGGTGGGTGTCCAGCAGATCCAAGCAAATAAGTCCGCTTTTGCTGCCATCTTGGACAACGGCTCTGCGGTGACTTGGGGTTTTCCTGACCACGGAGGTGACAGCGGCCAGGTGCAAGAGCAGCTATGGAGCGTCCAGCAGATCCAGGCAACCGAGCAAGCTTTTGCTGCCATCCTGGCAGACGGCTCTGTCGTGACTTGGGGCCTTGCTGACTGCGGCGGTGACTGCAGCCAAGTGCAGGAGCAGTTGGTGCACGTCCAGCAGATCCAAGCCACTAAGGCTGCTTTTGCTGCCATTCTGGCCGACGGCTCTGTTGTGACTTGGGGCGAGTCCCTCTCCGGCGGTGACTGCAGCCAGGTGCGACACCAGTTGGTGCAGGTCCAGCAGATCCAAGCCACTAAGGCTGCTTTTGCTGCCATCCTGGACAATGGCTCTGTAGTGACTTGGGGCGATCCTGATTGGGGTGGTGACAGCAGCCAGGTGCGAGAACGGTTGGTGTGTGTCCAGCAGATCCAAGCAAATATTAATGCATTTGCTGCTATCCTGAACGACGGTTCTGTGGTGACTTGGGGGCTTGCTGACTGCGGCGGTGACTGCAGCCAAGTGCGAGAGCAGTTGGTGCACGTCCAGCAGATTCAGTCAGCGTACTGCCAGTTGTTTGGTGGTGCTTTTGCTGCCATCCGGGACGATGGCTTTGTTGTGACTTGGGGCCATCCTTCCTCAGGCGGTGACAGCACCTGGACCTGGAAGTAAGATGCATAGTTCAGCAGACAAACGATTTTCGTTGCGTATTCTTGCAGAAGCCGGTGAGCATGACGTTTGCCTGCGTCAGTGGTCCTCATATCTTGCCTGCTGGTTTAAGCATACCTTTCAGGGTGGGGTCAGGTTGAAATCAATGTGAACTTTAGATCAAGCCGCAGGACCATGCACTCAAATCAAGACTGTTGTCCCTACCAAGGGCAAACCCTGATTCGTATGCTTTTCAGGACTGTTCCGAATTACAGGGAAGCCCTGTCCAATGTTCCTCACGTCCAGGTGGTGTATATTTTGGTGTCTTGGGCAAATAGCCACTTATCACCTGTTTGCTTGTGGTGTTCTTTGTGTTCTTCTTGTTGGACGGTTGTTTAAAGGGGAAGCAAATCGTGCTGTAAAACAAATCGGTACACCGCGCCTTTTCGGTCGACCCATCGGTGAAATCGGCTCAGCGTCAGCCCGCGCGCGCTGGGCGCGAGGCTATGCTCTGGCTTGGAGCTCGGAGGGCCTCATTGCCACGGGCAACAATGATGGGCGCCTGACGCTGGGTGTGCTTTGGGGAAAGCGTTTCTCACTCCCGGAGTTTCTGGAGAGAAACTTTTTGGTTTGGACCAGTCTAGTGGCAACCAAGCAGTTTTGAACTATTTTTGGCAGTTTTGGGGGCCTTGTGGGGGGGGGGGTGGGTGTGGCTTGGACCTTCGGTTGAGCCAAGGATCCTTTGGAGCGCGGCGACACCAGCCCACCCCACCTGGCAGATGCCCAAGACACACGGTTCCGGGGCTCTGAACGACCTGGGCTTCGCAGCAAGTGGCGCTCAGTGTGCCACGGCACCTCGGGCCAAATGAATGCAGTCTACGCCAAATACAATCCTCCTACACGGTGCAATCCATAGTGCAAGGGAACGTTCGGACACCCAAGTTACCTGAGTTTACCTTACATTGGTGTTTTTTTTTGTTTACCCCTACACCTAATACCCGGCCTTGTTTCAGGGTACAATTTGTCGGCCCTCTACGAAGAAAGGGATCGGCATTTAGCATGGAAAGCCGATCGGTTTTCCCAAACATATCAACTGAAAAAAGTGGGTTCGAGTAATTAGGGGGTATGTTTCGTTACATTGAGGTGCAGCCTAAAGATCCTTGGCTTATCCATGGATAGCCCTCCCCCTGAACCCCCCCCCATCCCATTGGCCCCGCGCACAGGTCCATGATGATATGATGTCCAACAACTTTGTGGCATAGATCATATCACTTGTCACTGCATAACCTTTTGGTTGGCACATCATCATAGCAAGTTGTTGTTAACCTAGAACCCACTTACAAGTCCGCCAAAGTGGGGTAGTTAAAAAGTCCAAGTGGCTAACCATTTGCTATCTTGGCAACGGACATCCAAGTAGACATATCATGGAAACAGATGGCTTTTCCCATGAAAGGGCGGATCACAACCTTTTGCTCGTCTCTGCAGAGGAGTAACCCAAGAGGGTAGGTGTGCGACTCGAGTTTCGAGTTTGGGGGTTGCTTCGATTGACTCAGACTCAGCTCATTTTGGTGCTTGGGGCAACTGCGGTTGCAGAGATGTAACCATCGGTTTCTTCCATTTTTCGGAGGCTACCCCCGGTCCAAGCCATGGACCTGTCCAACCCGGACCTGCGGGTTTCATGTGGCTTGTCTCTCATGTCCGCCAGTCACGGTCCCAGACTGTTTATATGAATATGTCTTCTATTTTCCCCTGTTAGTTTTAAAGGGACTCGATTTCACTACTCTCATCATTATACCCAGGGGAGCGATTTCAGCAAATGGTCTATCCACATTTCTTTTCTTGTTGCCCTTCTTTTCTTCCGGGTCTTCCCTCCCCCCCCTCCCCCCATGACCTGCCCCCCCCATCCCCCCGATGACCCCCTGCTTTTGAAATCTTGCAGACTGTTTTCCGATCTCCTGCGAGTCTCTCAGTAGATCATAAAACAGGGGCCTTTTTTTAACACCAATTTTCCTTCCTAATGCTTCCTCGAGAGAGTACAACCACTCGCAATCGCGCAATCGCAACCCCTCATCCTCTCTTCGATACCCCCCCCCCCCCCGCGGCACCCCCGGCACCCCCGGCACCCCCGGCACCCCCGGCACCCCGGCACCCCCGGCACCCCCGGCACCCCCGGCACCCCCGGCACCCCCCCCCCTCCCCGTCAGAGGTGGGCGAGGACAACCAGGTGGCGGTCTGGGACCTGCGGGCGAAGTCCAAGGCCTTGAGCCTGGCTGCCCCGGCGGAGCAGCTCACCGTGGCGCCGAGTCAGACCTGGGAAGTGGCGGAAGGTTTGGGGCTTTCGTGACCCCAAGGTCCCCGAGCGAGGTGCCGACTTTTACCGTTTCTCCTTTTTTTTGGGGGGGGGTTAGGGTTCCGATACAATAGACTAGATAAAAAAAAGGCTCTCAAATCTGGAGGACCTAGCCAAAGTGGATGGTGAACCGGTGCGGTGCTTGGGGCGGGTGATTTCCATGGTCATGACCCACTTGGGCGACTTTTCTCACAATGGATCCCAAAATGGACGGACCCAGGACCCAAGTTGTCAAGGAGTTACCAGACTTGCGAATCGATTCATGGAATCTTGAAAACCTGGAGTTTCCCGAGTTCCAAGGTGCCACCGAATCGCAACCCAAATTTTGGGAGCTGATGGCTTTGCCATCCATTTGCTCAAGAACAATTTTTATTTCCCCCTTGTTGGTTTTAAAGGGAATCTATCACTACTGGACATATTTTGATTTTTTGACGGGGGGCTTCAGCAAATGGAGGTTGCCGAATACCTACAAAAGGTGGTCGATCTTTTTCTCCGCTCCCCCCCCCTGGCCCAGTTTTGACCCCTGTTTCTGTCGGGGCTTTGCGGTCGGCGGGTCGGCGGCGGCGCCTATGCGGCAGTTCAAGCTGAGTCTCGTGTTGACCCGTGTTCAGAGCAAATCCAAGTCGAGCCCGAACAAAATCACAATCTGGTCCCTCAATAAGCACAAAGATGTTTATTTCTCTAAGAGCACGGATTGGCTTCCCTTTTCTGACTGGTGCAAGGCAGACCATTGTGGGACACAAGCTACTTGTTGTCGTTGTTGCTTCTCTTCGCCCAGATCTTCACGTCTGATCATTTCGAAGGTAACGAACCAGTTCCCACAAATTGGTATGCCTGTTCCATCGTTTTGTTGTCGCACTCCCTGAGTTCGTGGACTTTGAACCTTTTGGGAAGGCCGTTTTAGTGGCAACCAACAAGATTGAACTTTTTGGAGCCAGGCCACTGAGGAAGTGAGCTGCGGGTTCAAACCCTACTACATCGGCCCGAAATGTTGATCAAACAGCTGGAGCCTCTTCTCGCTTAAGCCGTTTGGAGCCAAAGCTAAAGCAGCGAGGAAATGGGGAGAGCTGAAAAGAGGCTCGTTGGGGGTAGGGGACGGGTGTTATAGCGCTCGTTGTTTTTTTGTTTTAGGGAAGGGGATGGTTGATTGTTAATCAGTTTTTCCCAGACCCCCCGCCATTTGCCAGCCATGGCGCCAGATACCCTCCCAACATAGCAAGTTCCAGACCAAACACCTGTCGTGCGAAACGTTTACCGATTTCCAGGACTGGAACCCCTGGGAGCAGTTGCTGGCCACAGGGGGCAAGGACAACCTGGTGCACATTTGGGACCTCCGTGCTTGCCAGGCGAGGTTCTACTCCGCTTTTCAAAGTTGGAAAATCCGAAGTTTTCCATGGTACATCCCTCCGGATCGCGGAATGGTTCGGCCGTCGAATGGCCTTGGAGTTGGGTGGTAGGGTTGCGTTCAGTGCCCGACTGCAACGCAAAATGCTTCGTTTTGTTTTTTTTGGGTGGGGGGGTGGGGGGTTGAACACATGTTCACCCTCTCAGCACTGCAAGCATGCCTGGCAAATGTTACGCGCGCCCGCTTAAGTGCGTATGCGCAGCACCCCAAGCACGCCTGGCACAGCGCAAGCACACCCCGCTCACCTTAGCAAGTGGTTCGTAAGCCTAGTCAAAGAACAACCACTGAACGGATACTTTTCATACTTCACTGTTCTTGGCATGCTTTTTGATTTTTTAGTTTTTTGGTTCTGTTCATTTACTGGGGGTCTGCAAAAAACAAAGTTTTTTGCTACCATACCAATAGAGATGATAACCTTGAGTTGCTTTTGTGGGTTGTCTCGGGCCATGGTGTTTTCCACTTCCCGAGCCCCATTTTTTCTGCCGGAACCCACCGCTGGTTATCATCCACTTACCTTACGTACTCCACAGCGATCGCCCCCTTTTAGTAGGCATGGAACCTTTCTTTCGAAAGGAACCCCAAAGGAGGTCGTTTAAACAGCTTGGTGGGCGAAGCCATGGTTCAGAAACCAAGGGATTTGTGTTAACCTTCTTTCAATCAAGATCATACTATATCATACTGTAGGGAGAGTAGTGCCCTTTCACCCTTTTTTGGGGGGAGGGTTCCCCTACTAAAGTAGACTTTAGAAAAACATAAAAGAGGTTGGTACCAACTTATTCTAACCTCTCAAATCTGGAGGACCTAGACAATGTTAAAATGTTCACTGGTATTTCCCCATGTTGTTTGGCTAATTGTTCCTCTTTCAATACTTTGTTAGTACTCTTTTGCTATCCTACAAGCATAAATCCACAAAAACCGCATCCAAAAACCGGTTCCTAGAAACATGGTTTGTTGACCAACCTCCAAAAAGCAAATCAAAGCTTCGGAGCTTCCTGTTTAATTCCAGGAGTGTAACCTCTATCTGGAGGACCTAGACAACGTTACAATGTTCACTGGTATTTCCCCATGTTGTTTGGCTAATCGCTCCTCTTTCAATACTCTTTTAGTACTCAAAACCAGGTTGTTTGAAGGCCCTAAATCAAACGAATTGGAGCCTCTGGGCCCTCGGAACCAATGGATCCTTGGCGACTCGATCGCTTCGATCCAGGCGCCTCTGAAGTCCTTGGCAGAGCACCGGGCCGAGATCCAGCAGCTCAGGTGGTGTGCCCTGGCCTACTTTGAGTTGGTTCCAAAGGGAAACCAAAAGGGAGGCACTTTTTTTTTCTCGGGGGGGGGGCCAGCCTGCAAAAACACACACCCTGATAGTAGGTAATCACGGAAGCAATCACCCTTTCTTTTTGTTGGGGGGGGGGAACCTAAAAAGAGGACACCTCGATAGTGAAACAATCCATGGCAAAGCAGTCCTCAACTGTTCTGACCAATCCACTCAGACGAGTGTTCAATGTTTTCCTGTGTCATGTACGGGGAGGTTCTACGCTTGAACATCCCGGATCAACGGAGGGAACGCCGAAAGCCAACAAATTCCGGGATCTTGTTTATGTGTTTCTTCAAACCCTATCAGACCCTTCAAATGTGGGTATTATCCCCACTTTGTCATCGCAAAAAACAGGCTCGAGAGCCATGTGAGGATCAGTACCCCCCAAATGACCAAGGGCTACCCCTTTCCCATTTAAGTGGGAAGATCCTCACTTTTTGGCGCTTGTCCAACCAATGGTCATCCCATGTAAAGGCCAGCCCCCATGTCATTTTACTCACATCCGCCGATTGGAGCACTTCTTTGGTTTCAGTGGGGCCCAGGTTATCTCAGCCGTTCAAGCCGGACGCTACCCATGTAGGAGCTTCCATCCCAGACAGCCAACCATCATAGCAAGCATATAGCCCCAAAACCAACATCCGCCAAAAGGACCTGATCCTCCAACATAGGATACTCCTAAGGAAAAAGCTACCTGTGGGGTGCTACATGGGAAACGGGTGAGGGCCTCCCAGTTGTTTGTTGGACCTAACTTGTTGCGGACACGTTCGCGCTTTGCATGAAGCTGCCCTCCCCCCCAAATCAAGAACTTCAGCCAGCGCAACTGGGGAACCGGTTCCTGGACCATGGCTTCAGGGAACCGGTTCCTGTGCAGGTTTCACCTTTTATGCGGACAGGTGGATGTTTCTGCAGGGAACAAACCCAACCGCTGGAAGGTGCTGCGACTTGCCATGTGGGTATGGGTCAAAATAAGCCACCTTTCGATTTATCAGGGCAACCCGTTTGGGGTTACCCTGAGTTATTTTATGTTTGAGCGACCACCTCTGCTTTTGGGGTTACCCTGTTCCTTTGTTTGGGGTTGCCCTATGTTTTGGGGGTTACCCATTTTTGGGGGGGAGCTACCCATTTTTTTAGGGGGGGGGCTACCCATTTTTTGACCGCCACACCCATTTCAAGCAGGTCTTTGTTGGTAAGGCTTCTTCCCTGGTTTTTTTCAGCAATCGGGGACTAATCAAAAGGGGGTCTTTGGAATTCAAGGGTCCGGAAATGGCCGGTTTCTTTGGTTTTAGTGGCTGGCTCTCCAGGGGGCGCCAAAAGTCGCCGCAGGCCCCATGGCGGAGGAGCGAACCTCAGGCATCGCCACCAAGGACTTGCTGGGCTCCTGTTCCGCCGACGGCGACCTGGGCGAACCGGGGTGGGGCTGGGGCAAGAGGGGGCGAGAGGGGGGGGTGGGGGAGGGTGGGAAGAGGTCCTTTATGTGAAGAAGGGTTTGGCGTGCCAAGCGCCCAGTCTGGATTCAAAGGGAAAGCCAAACGGAGAGGGGCGGGGTATTTGTTGAGTTTCGTTACATAGCCGTAGCTCCCGGTTTGTTTGACTCATAGGAACAACATGGTTTGGATCATCTTGGTTCCGAGGGGGGTCGTAGGCGTTCATTTTCCCGCAGAAATCGTAGGGTCTGCATGGTTTCGGCGGGATTGAATCAGTTTCCCTTGGCCCCCCCACCAACACGGAGCGGAGAGGGTGCCTTTGAAGGGAAGATCGTCTCCGGGACTCAGTCAGGTGCCATGTTGGATGGGAGGGTGGGATTGGTTGGCTTTTGTCAGGACCGAAAAGGAGAGGTACTCCTTTTCACACAGGGTATAGAAGCAACACGGTTCGAGAGATGGCGATGCAATGGGAGAATCAGGTTCGGGAGCGTCTGCAGGGGCCGCTTGTTGCCATAGGCGTGCAGGAGCAACACATTGGCCTGGAAGAGGCGCTTTGCACAATGCAGCATTCCCTAGTAGCAAAGGCCTGCAACGTGGGAAGAACCCCCTGCTCAAAGGCCGACCGACCCCACCCCAGCAGATTGTTTCGAGCCTTTCAGATGAACGCACACTTCAAGGTTACGCTCTACGCTTGCGAACGGTTTCCCTCGCTTTCTCTTCAGCAACCATTTGTTTGGAAGATGGTGCTCTTGGTTCAGAAGATGTTGGCTAGCCAAGGTGAGGCGACCCGATCCTTACCCCCACAAGCTCCAAATACCCACGTTTTGTTTTGTTGGCATGACGTCAACCCTTTGCACAAAAGGGAGGTATTTACCATGGAAACCTGTTTCCCAAGAATACCCTGACAGAAAGCGTGTATTTGGACGGCGTTGGAGGGGGCCACGTGGAAAGGCCCCCGAACCGCCCAAACCGCAAAAAAATCCAAGGGGAAGCTTTTCCATTCCCCGGTGCGGTCTGAGGGGCAAGTCAGATGGAACCCGCGAGGCCCCCAAGACAGCGGGCCCTCCCGCAAGCTGATTGAAAGTTAAGCGTGTGAGGGTTCTCAAAACCTTGGGCCCCGCAAAAATTGTGAGGATGTGACCCCAGAAGGTGATCATCTTTTAGTTCCAGGGTCCATAGGGGCAACTGAGTACAACCCCCTAAGCCCAAGAACTCAACCAACCTCTAGTTGACACCGTTTTACACCCACTGTTTGCTGGCTCACCCACTCCTTTCTGCTTGGTGGTTACAGATATGCATATACACATCTATATCTATATGGCAGTGAATTTTTTTGAGGGGTCTGTAACAGAGCCGCGGCGGACATTCGTTACAGACCTCGTTACAGACCTCTGTAACAAAACCAGCTGGCTCGTTACACACCCCTCGTTACACACCCTCGTTACACACCCTCGTTACACGCCCTCGTTACACACCTCAGATGAGCAAACCGGGCCAGTGACGTGACTGCCCTCCTTTTGCCGCAGCTTGGCTTGCGTTGAATAGCTGCAATCAAGTGCTTTGCTTTGCCTGGTTACAGACCTCGTTTCATAGCCGTTGCATACCTCGTTGCAGACCCAACCCCAGCCCGGGCCAGCGACCCCGCTTTTTGCCGCAGCTTGGCTTGCGTTGAATAGAGCTGCGGAGGCGTGCTTTGCGTGCTGCGCTTTGCTTTGCCTCGTTACAGACCTCGTTACATAGCCGTTACATACCTCGTTACAGACCCAGCCCCAGCTTTTTGCCGCAGCTTGGCTTGCGTTGAGTAGCTGCAATCAAGCTGGAGCTGCGGAGGCGCGCTTTGCGTCCTGCGCTTTGCTTGGCCTCGTTACAGACCTCGTTACATAGCCATTACATACCTCGTTGTGCTGCGCTACATCGTGCTACTGATACTTCTTGTCAGGAAATGTTTGTCCCGTTACAGACCTGCGTAACAAGGACCTCCGTTACAGACCTCCGTAACAAGATTCGTGGCGCGTCGCGCGTTACAGACCCCTAAAAAAAATCATAGCCATATCTGTATACCTCTATATATATATATATATGTATCATGTATTTTGTGTTTTTGTGTGTGTTTTTTGTGGGTGGGGGGGGGGGGGGGGAGTAGTTTGAGGGCCCAGACCTCGGGAGCCCTTGGGGTTTGCCTCTCTCTGAGGCAAAGCGGTGGTGTGGAACCTGGGCGGCACCGAGCCGGATGACGGGCAGGCGCCCGAGGCGCGCGCGCGACCTGCGCGATCGATAGGGGGGGCAATGGTAAAATCGTGGCAGATGCGACCCTCAAAGCTTCTGTTGGCTGAAATGAAGACTGTTTTTTTTTAATTATTATTGTTATTATTATTATTTTTAGTATTATATTTGTTCCTTTGGTTTGAAAGGGAATCGATTTCATTACTGGATGTTTTTACTTCTTTCCAGGGGTCTTCTGAAACAAATGGAAGAAAGGGAAGGTCACCTCACTCCTGGGGTAGACTTAGGATAATGTTTGCACATGTTACCAGTGGCTGAAAGTGAAGCAACCGATAAGATATACATTATTTGTGTGTGGGCCTAACTTCAGTCACTGCTCCTCCTTCTTTCTCCTGTTGTCTTTTGAAAGGTTCCCTCTTCAGGATATCCAAGACATTCTCCGGCCAAGCTGCTGGGTTTGGCGGTTTGATGTTGGGAGATGTTTCCCTTTGAGAGCTTCCTGCAGGCTTCAAAAAGAAGGAAGCTTTACTTCATAGATTCCTTGTGTGCCTGTTGGTTTCCTCAACCCCGTGGTCAACTTTAAGTAAAGGGCAAATGAGTGGAAGGTGGTTTGGTTTAAACCAAAACACGACTTTGGAAGTTTAAGGGTCCAAGTGCAAACCCTCCTTTTGAACAAACATGGAGGTGCAAAAGGGCCTGCCTACTTTCATTTTGGAAAGAGAGTAATATGAGGGCCAAATGATTACCAGCCATTTTCTACAGTTACGAACTTGTGCTTTCACGCATCCCGCAACCCCCCATTCCAATGTTCGCCCTTATATGTTGCTCAGAAGATGGAACATGGAAACAGCAATTCCCATGATGCTTGTTCCCTTCATTTGGGATGGATGAAGCCCTATGAAGATTAGGGTAAACCACAAATCCCAACTGGCGCAAAGCGGATTTTTTCAATCCACGGCAAGGGCTTGCACCGTAGTTAAAGTACCCATTTTTTGGCGGTGTCACCTACAACAACAGATTTAATGATCATTTCTAAAGGAGAATCACTAATCATCTTTGTTAATAATGCCGGAAAAGTTAAAACAGACGATACCAACAAAAATCCTATAGCTTTTATAACCACAGTATTAAATAAACCGCACGATGCAAAAAAACTAATATCTAACATTTCCCAGAAAGTCCAAAAGGCCTTCTAAGCAGACCTTCCTTCCAAAAAGACAAGTACGCGGAGGACCCTTTGAGCTTTGGTTGCCCTGCAAAACTGCCCCAAGTTGGTATGCAAGGCTTGGCTTGGCGGGCTGAGGTGCTCTTTGTTCACAGCGGGCACCGTGATGCCGTGACCGACTTCGGGTGGAGTTTCTTGGACGACTTCCTCTTCTGCTCGGCCCGGAGCTTGGTCGATGTGAATCGATTCGATTCGACCGCAGAGCTTTAATTTCCCTTTGGTCCACAGCTTGTGCTTTTGGAAGAGCTACCCTTTTTTGGGGGTTGGTTTGACAGTACACCAAGAAGGACCCTGTTGTTGTTTAGTGGGGGTCCCACATAACCATGTTTAGTCGAGCATTTTATTTCCAGGTCCAAACTAGGCGAGTGAGTTCACCGGGAATAGTCGTCTAAATAATAATGCGTTTTCCGGGGACCGTTCAGAAACATTTAGGCTTGGCCTTAAGCCTTGTCAACCCCTCATCCTAAAAGTTTCTTTGCGGTGTTGCCAAGGCCAGCGTGGGTGTATTCCTTTGTCGCGTTGGGAGGTCGTTGCGGTGGTGTTGCCAAGGCCAGCTTGGGTGTCCTACCCAGATCTTCAAATTGCACATAGAATAAAACATTGCTCATGATTTCTCTTTGGCAATGTCCCATTTGTTTATCAAGAGTTAAGCACTTAGACTTAGACTTCAGTCACTCACTCTGTGAAAAACACACGTTTTGTTGTAAACAAAGTCAGTGATTCCAGTTGCCGCTATGGTAGCCAACCAACGGAACCACCTTTCAAAGCCCGAAAGGACCATGGCGAAGGGAAACCCATTATAGTGCCTGAGATCCACTGAGACAATCATGAAGCAGGGAATGAGGGAGGGATGGAATGACTCCGAGAAAAATCATCCCTTGTGGCTTCCTTTAGTGGAATCCCCAAACCGGTTCATTCCCAAGACCCGGATTCGGTCATTCCCTACCTATCGCACCAGCAGGTGAAGGTGAAGGCGTTTTTGCGACCATGTCCCCAAACCTCCGATCGGTAGCTCCCAAAGGCTTCTTTTTTAGCAGCAAATTTGGATCCCAAAGCTCCTTAGTTCTGTTCCTACCCTGCCCCTTGAAGTCGGGATACCGAGCACCCTTATGACCATGGTAAGTGGATGTGGGCTACAACCATGCTTACTACCCACATATCAGACGTTCCAAATCGATCGCCCCTTTACTTAGCACCTGCTGGTGCTCAGTAGGGAATGAGAAATGGAATGACCCTTATAAGCCATCCCATGGTTTCCTTCAAGGGGACCAAACCCCAGGCTTACTTTGTTGCATTTTGCTTGGATGTTAGGACTTTAACTTTTTGCCAACTAATGGGTTTTCCACTAAACCACTAAAAGCTATTTTGTCTGCAGGGGAGCAGAAAGCAACCGAGTTTATTCCTCAGCACCAGCAGGTTGAAGTCCCTATCGCCCACACATAGAAAGTGGGTAACCCGTGGTAGCCCGCTTACATGCACTTATGGTTATAAGTCTGCGTTCAGTGGGTTACCGGGGTTAATTACCAAGAACTTATTAAGTACCCGATCGCCCCTTGAAGTAGGGATACCTACTGAGCACCCTTATAAACATGGTAAGTGGATCTGGGCTACAACCATCTAGGTCCCCCAGTAGTGCTCGTTTACCCTTTTTTGGGGGAGGGTTCCCCCACCAAAATAGACTACAGAACAAAGGGTGCCCTTATTCTAACCTCTCTACTGGAGGACCTAGCCATGGGTACTACCCACATGCCAGACGTACCGCATCGATCACCCAATCGCCCCCCATAGACAACTTGCTGGTGCGATAGCTAGGGAAACTGGGAATGAACCCAGGGACCAACAAACGAGGGGTCAGTCGGGAGCGGGAGGGGCACAAAGGAGCAGCAGCAAGTTTACTACCCACATACCTACCCGACGTTAAGTACCTAAGGCAACCCAGGCTAACAGTCTTACAGTCTGACAGTTTGACTCGCCCGCAGCTAAACCAGACCAACCTACCCGCAGCAAGTTCTCGCCGCAGGTGGGCGACGACAACGCGCTGCAGCTCTGGCAGCCCGCCGCCGCCGCCGTGGAGCCGGAGAACGACGGGCCGAACGACGGATCCGATGCCGGGGCGGCACCGGGGGCGAAGCGCCCGCGCCTGGCGTGAGAGGCGTGAGACGGAGACGAGTCCGGACCATGGGAACGCCTGAGGTGCTTACTTTGGTGCATTTTGCCAAGGGATGTTGGGACTTTAACTTTTGCCAACTCATGGGTTGTCCAGTAAACCACCAAGAGTTAAACTTTACGCAGGGGAGCAGAAAGCAACCGAGTTTAGCCTTTTTATAGATCCCACGAAGCACTTAGGATTTTTTTAGAACCATGAAGTGGTTAGGAAGCCTTCTTATAAGTATGTAACCCTCTTAGCACTGAGGATATTTTTAATCATGGCTTTTGCGGGTTATAACCATTGGTTATTACCCAGCTATACTAAGTAAGGGGGTCTTAGAATAAGGGGTTCCCCTCAAACTGGCGTGGCTTCCTGTGCGTTTCCCTTTCAAGAAAGGTACCCTCACCTTGTGGCCCTTATTTTGACCAATTCTGGTGGTTGTCAAAGTCAGGAACTCGGGGTGTTGCCCTTTGTGCCTATCACTTAGGAGTGGCTTTGATAGCGATCAAATAACAAGTCCCTTTTTTTCTGGAGCTGGAAACACCGTTTAAATATGAAACATAATCTGAAAATATGTTTTGTGTGCCAATGTGGGCCAAGCTGTCATGTCAGAATTCAATGATTGCCTCAAAGTTTGGGGAACCCTGGGTCTGTTGAGATCACTGCCATAGAGCAGGTGCCAACTCGGCTTGGCTTTATGCCCGGAGGTCCCTATGTGGAGTTTCTATTGGATTGTGATGCACAAATATTGGAAATGTGTAGGGACGTGGTGCATTCCCATGGCAGGCATTGGGATGCCTGGCATGGTTAAATCGTCGCTTTGCGAGCGGCGAGCGGCGAGCGGCGAGCGTTCGGGTAACTCTGCTGAGTTTCGTTGCAACGCCTGGCACAGAAAGCCCGGATCTTGAAAAGGAGCGCTTGCCTGCATCCTGTCGCATTCTGGACGCCTGTTTTGGTAGCTGGCTCAGTTTCTGGTTGAGCCCTCCAACTTAACTGTTTTTGTTTGTACCTTTTCTTGGTTGTGTGGCCAAGAAACCGGAAGGAAATTTACCTGGAACCCAGTTGCCCTTATGTTTTAGCTACTTTTGCCAACTCATGGGCTACTAGTGGGGTTCCAGTGGCTGGAAGAAAGTGGCTACTTGGATCCGGACCCAGGTAGGGATTCCAAGCCCCAAGATTCCGGGCCTCGCGTGCCGAGCCGCACGCGCGAACCGCGCGAACCGGGCCGAGCGCACCGAGGTGACGCCCTTCAACTTCGCGCTCCACGGGGAGGCGGGGCGGCCCATCAGCTGGAGCAGCCCAAGTGGCCGCGGCTCCTGGCGGGGGGGCTTCATCCTCTGCGCCCTGGAGGCGCCCCGGAGAGAAATGCCCCCGCCCGAGGAGCCGAGGGAACGAATGGAACACTCAGCGGTTGGCCCTTTTAGTTGGCCGGGGGAACCTTTCTTCAAACAAGAATCCCAAAAGGCGGTTTTTCGAAAACAGCTGGGTGAATTGCGCCATGGTTAAAAAACCACCTGGACCCTCAATCACCCTTCGTTTTTGGGGTGGTGCTGTGTTGCATTCATTTTTGGGGTGTTTTGTCATTTTTAGGGGTGTTAGTTCCATGTTTGGGTGTTTTCGTTTTTCCATGCGCTGCGTTGTCAACCCTGCAATTTCGCTAGCGGTGTGTTTTACTTGTTTGAATTAACAACGTTGTTGTTCACTGCGCAGGGCTTGCTTGAAAGATACAAGTGCCAAGTCAAGCAGCGGCGCGGACCTTGCTGTCACCCAATGTCAAACCTCCAGGTTCAGCTCAGCTGCTCAATGCCTTTGATATTGGAATGAAATCAATCATCAAACATAATTTGACATTGGCCCAAACCAACACAACACAAGGGAAAACAAAAGCCGCGTTATTAGCCTTTCATTTTTGTGTGAGAAAAGCATTTGTGAGTTGCACAAGTTAAGAAGGCTGCTCCGTTGCGTGCTGCCTAGTGTTGGAGCCGATCACTGAGTCGCAAAGCATCCAAGTCAGGTGTTTCCTTTGGAAGCGAGCAGGTGGCTTGGTGCACCACAACTCAAACTGATGTTTAGGAGGGCGCTGCGACAATGCAAAGAACCAACATCCCTTAAAACAGGAGTTAGACATTTCGAGTTGTTTCTTCTAGTGTGTGCGGTCTTTGCGCGGCACACATCACAAACGGTGTTTCATGGCAAAACCCGGTCTTCTAATGGCTTGAAACAGTCTGCCATGCGCAGTTCACCGCATGTTCATGTAATGTCACTCTACTTTCACGACAGTAGAGTCCAAGAAGGTATAAGTTCAATGAACAAATATTGTCGCAACAAGTTGAGAAGGATAGCTTTCGCAGATTTTGTAGCAGCGCGATGGGAGTGATTCCGCATTTGTCCACAGCTCTGTGCCCTTGGGCCATGTGCCCAAAGTTGTTTCAATCTACAAACAACAAAAGAAACATCTTAATTAAGCATGATGTACAATACTTTGCACATTCGGGTATGTTCTATTTCACCATGCCTCCTAGATGATCAAGTTCACATGTTGCTTCAACGGTGGTTCTCTGGCTAATGAGACTCAGCGCAACATGTACCAGTTGCCCTTAAAGTTGATGTCCTGAAGCAAGCATACAGCCAAAGGGTCCAGTCTTTATATGATAGCAGGCAAGCTTGCAACACCTGCTATTCTGCGAACAGTAGCTGTCACTAGCAATTGAATGGTCGTTCCGTAAGCTCAGTATTCTGCGAACAATAGCTGCCACTGGCAATTGAATGGTCGTTCCGTAACGTCCACCTAGGAATAAACATTGCACCTGGAATAAAGACAAACAGGTGGCCCCCCAAAAAATGCACCTGGAATAAAGACAAGCACCCGCCACCCCCGCCCAAATGTTCTGAACGAAAAGTATAAGGAACATGACAAAATGGAACAAACAGAGAAAGAAGAGGAGAGGTAGCCAAGCCAACACCTGGTCCTTAGATCTTTGGTACCTTGTTCTTCAGCTCCCCAAAAATCAAACTGTCCAGCTGCCCAAGAAGTCATGGTTTCTTACATGTCTCTTACTCTTGTTTAAAAAGGCCCCCAAACTTGAGCCCAAGACTTTATTTCAGGGGACCCTACAATAAAGTCTTGTTGTCTGGCCCCCTGCAAATATACAACTAGCCCAGCGTAACTACCTATGAAGCTTCGGGCTTTGTTGTTAGATTTGGGCCTGCTTCCCAAAATCAAACATGTCCAGCTTCCCCAAGCTCTTGTTTTCTTGCATGTCTCTTGTATAAAAACTGCCTACAACCAAACCCACAAACAACCTAGTACTTCAGAAACTTCACCCCCAATTTGACATTATTTCAGCGGCCTCTGAAATAAAGTCTTGTTGCCTGCCCGCGGCTGCCCGCGTCCAAACAAGTATCAAACGGAAGCTCCAGCAATACAAAATCAAATGGAAACTAAGTTCCAGATCTCAAAAGGAAGCTCCAGCAATGCAAAATCAAATAGCAACTCAATTCCAAATCTCAAAAGGAAGCTTCAATGCTAAATCAAATGGAAACTCAATTTCAGATCTCAAAAGGAAGCTCCAGCAAGGCTAAATCAAATGGAAACTCAATTCCAAATCTCAAAAGGAAGCTCCAGGAATGCTAAATCAAATGGAACCTCACTTCCAAATCTCAAAAGGAAGCTCCAGCAATACTAAGTCAAATGGAAACTCAATTCCAAATCTCTAAATCATATGGAAACTCCTTTCCAAATCTGAAAAGGAAGCTCCAGCAATACTAACAAATGGAAACTCAATTCCAAATTTGTAAATCAATCAGAAACTCAAATACAAATCTCAAAAGGAAGCTCCAGCAATACTAAATTAAATGGAAACTTAAGCCTACCAATACTAAAGCAAATGGAAGCAACATTGAACTGGATCTCAAGAGATTATTCTAGGCACCCCCTTTGTTGGGGGGGAGAGGGCCCCCCCTTTACTACTCCCAGGCGGACATTACTCCGAACATAGTCCGGATAGGTGGACAGGGTCCGCCGGACCGGTTGGACGGCCCGGACGGGTCCGGACGGGTCTGGATAGGTCCGGACGGGCCCAGACTATCAAAAGAAAGGTGATTGTTTCAAAAAAAGGAGTTTTGGTTCGGACTAGTCCGGGACGGACGCTTAAATACGCCTTTTGGACGCCTAAATACGCCTTTTCGGACGCCCCGCTGGACGCCCAAAACAAAAAAAGGTGTTTTGGATAGAAAAAGGTTTTTTGTATGTTTTTCTCGTCCGGACGCGTCCGGACGCGTCCGCCCGCCCGGACCCTGTCCACCTATCCGAACTATGTTCGGAGCAATGTCCTGTAAATGGTCTTTGTTCGGAGTAATGTCCACCTGGGATTAGTAAAGGGGGGGGCCTCCCCCACCCCAACAAAGGGGGTGCCTAGAATAATCTCTCGAGATCCCGTTCAATGTTGCTTCCACTTGCTTTAGTATTGGCAATTAGACTTGAATTTCCATTTGATTTAGTATTGCTGGAGCTTCATTTTGAGATTTGTATTTGAGTTTCTGATTGATTTAGAGATTTGGAATTGAGTTTCCATTTGACTTAGTATTGCTGGAGCTTCCTTTTGAAATTTGGAAGTGAGGTTCCATTTGATTTAGCATTCCTGGAGCTTCCTTTTGAGATTTGGAATTGAGTTTCCATTTGATTTAGCCTTGCTGGAGCTTCCTTTTGAGATCTGAAATTGAGTTTCCATTTGATTTAGCATTGAAGCTTCCTTTTGAGATTTGGAATTGAGTTGCTATTTGATTTTGCATTGCTGGAGCTTCCTTTTGAGATCTGGAACTTAGTTTCCATTTGATTTTGTATTGCTGGAGCTTCCGTTTGATACTTGTTTGGACGCGGGCAGCCGCGGGCAGGCAACAAGACTTTATTTCAGAGGCCGCTGAAATAATGTCAAATTGGGGGTGAAGTTTCTGAAGTACTAGGTTGTTTGTGGGTTTGGTTGTAGGCAGTTTTTATACAAGAGACATGCAAGAAAACAAGAGCTTGGGGAAGCTGGACATGTTTGATTTTGGGAAGCAGGCCCAAATCTAACAACAAAGCCCGAAGCTTCATAGGTAGTTACGCTGGGCTAGTTGTATATTTGCAGGGGGCCAGACAACAAGACTTTATTGTAGGGTCCCCTGAAATAAAGTCTTGGGCTCAAGTTTGGGGGCCTTTTTAAACAAGAGACATGTAAGAAACCATGACTTCTTGGGCAGCTGGACAGTTTGATTTTTGGGGAGCTGAAGAACAAGGTACCAAAGATCTAAGGACCAGGTGTTGGCTTGGCTACCTCTCCTCTTCTTTCTCTGTTTGTTCCATTTTGTCATGTTCCTTATACTTTTCGTTCAGAAAATTTGGGCAGGGGTGGCGGGTGCTTGTCTTTATTCCAGGTGCATCTTTTGGTGAGCCACCCATTTGTCTTTATTCCAGGTGCAATGCTTAATCCTAGGTGGACGTTTCTGAACGACCATTCAATTGCTAGTGACAGCTATTGTTCGCAGAATACTGTAGCATGCCTTGCAAGCTTGCCTGTTATCATATAAATACTGGACCCTTTGGCTGTAACAGTGAGGGTCTTGGGGCAGTTTAGCGCTGTGAGCAAAGCTTAAAAGCAATATGCTTGCTTCACGGCATCAACTTTAAGGGCAACTGGTACATGTTGCGCTAAGTCGCATTAGCCAGAGAACCACAGTTGAAGAGTTGAAGCAACATGTGAACTTGATCATCTAGGAGGCATGGTGAAACTGAACATACCCGAATTTGCAAAGTATTGTATATCATGCTTAAGTAAAATGTTTATTGTGTTGTTTGTAGATTGAAGCAATATCGGGCACATGGCCCAAAGGCACAGAGCTGTGGACAAGTACGGAATCACTCCCATCGCGCTGCTACAAAACATGCGAAAGGTATCCTTCTGAATTTGGTGCGACAATATTTGTTCATTGAAATTGTACCTTCTTGGACTCTACAGTCGTGAAAGTAGAGTGACATTACATGAACATGCGGTGAACTGCGCATGACACACTGTTTCAAGCCACTAGAAGACCGGGTTTTGCCATGAAAAACCATTTGTGATGTGTGCCGCGCAAAGCACACCGCACACACTAGAAGAAACAACTCGAAATGTCTAACTCCTGTTTTAAGGGATGTTGGTTCTTTGCATTGTCGCAGCGCCCTCCTAAACATCAGTTTGAGTTGTGGTGCACCAAGCCACCTGCTCGCTTCCAAAGGAAACACCTGACTTGGATGCGTTGCGACTCAGTGATCGGCTCCAATGCTAAGCAACACGCAACGGGGCAGCCAGCCTTCTCAACTTGTGCAACTCACAAATGTTTGTCTCACACATAAATGCAAGGCTAATAATGCGGCTTTTGTTTTCCCTTGTGTTGCGTTGGCATTCAAGCCGTTTGGGCCAAGGTCAAATTATGTTTGATGATTTATTTCATTCCAATATCAAAGGCATTGAGCAGCTGAGCTGAACCAGGAGGTTTTACATTGGGTGATAGCAAGGTCCGCACCGCTGCTTGAATTGGCACTTGCATCTTTCAAGCAAGCCCTGCACAGTGAACAGCAAAGCCCCAAAGAACACCGCTTATCGTGACAACACCGTTAAACAAATCCGCTGATGGACTTTCAGGGCTTTACTTGGCACAGAACCCAAAAAAGGTGTTTTGTTCAAGAAAAGGTGTTTCGACAAAGAATGCCATTCTTTACATTTTGCCCCAAAAATTTGGGGTGGTTTGAGACTCCAGGCAAGGGATTTGTGTTGACCTTCCTCCAAACAAGACACTAGGGAGGTTGCTAAAACAACTCTATTGATATTGGGTTGGATCTTTAGGCTTTTATTTTTTTGGATTCTCCACACATTTCCTTTTAGCCAGCAAGAAGTTAAACTTTTTGGGGAACCTAAAAAGGGAAAGCCGAGGGCTGGCGGTTCCGGCCATCCCCTGTCCCTTAGGTTGCAGTGCATGGTAGACTTTCATGGACTCCCCGAACCTGTTTTGCAGCGTGTGTTCTTTCTCCAAATGCACAGGGAGCAGGTCGGAAAACTGCCACGTTCCAGTTGCAGAGAATGTGCTTTGGTAGGATGCTGCTGCTTGACAAAAAAGAGATTATGATTTTGTGAAACTGGTTCTGACAAGTGCGTGCACCAGCCTCAAACTCTACCTGGGAAAGGGGGGGTTCCCCCCGTTGTAGGGCTTTTCCCCCCCATGGGTGGTACCCTCGAGTTGGGCGATGAAGGACCTCGAACGCGACAGGTGGTGCTGAAGGAGAGCTTCCGATCTGCCTGGAAGGCGCGGTGCTTGACGAATTCTCCAAGCTCAGGTTGCCCGAATGCCGAAACTGTTTGCCAGTGGTTCCGTTGCCCTAATGGTTGTGAGTAACCAAAGAAAACATACCCGCAGGAGTATGGCGAAGGCTTACCCAGTCTGGCAACTGGGATCTGGGGTAACACTAGCGATTCCCTTCATCACCCCCGCTTTGTGAGCAGTAGTTTGACCTGGTTCTTCCACAGCCCTCTGAAAGTGATGCCAGCACAGCAGGCAGGATGCCACGCAGAATAACCAATTGGAGAAAGACATGTGGCTGTGGGTCAAAAATAGGTACCTCAAATGGAACCCTGGAAGTGGAAACATGGACCAAGACCTGCGGTTTTTGGTGGCTTAATTTTGACCCATACCCATGTGACTGACAGCTAAATATGACCGACCTATCCTAGGTCCTGAAATATGGCTGCGCCTGCTGGCCCCACCTCATTGCCATGAATTGGTTTTCGGGATGGAAGCCAGCCAGCCAGTGAGGCCAGCCAACCAACCAACCAACCAGCCACTCATCGAGCCGAAGGTCATGGGCTTATTGCAGCTTCTGCCACGCTACTTCGGGTGCAAGTGGGACCTTTTCTTCGCCCAAGTCTATGAGGGCTCTGTAACGCTCAGCACCTCGGCCAGATCTTCAGATTTTGGGACCGGACCCCACTCCCAATGGCCCAATGGCTCACTCCTAGGGTTCCTGGGCGTTCGGCTTCTTTGGGTTTGGATTTCAGTGGCAACTACAAAGTCCCTGGAGTCTCCTTCTGACCCTTACAAAATGGGTCAATGACCCCATGACTTTCTGTAATCACCTGGTCGTGGAGACTCCAGGTGGTTCTTTTGTTCGGCCAGCCCACTCATTCTGAGGCTTTGTTGTATTACACCCGGGGATTACACCCTGGGAAATGAATCACTTAAACTCAGGAAGTGAGCAATGGCCATTCGAGCGACCTTTTGGCCTAGGCTTTAGGGCATGCTTTTTTCTTGGACCCCGACAACAGGAGTCGGGTTTTCGGTGTGGGGCATGGGATGCCAAGCAAGTTCCTTCCGTTTTTCCGCAGCAAACGTCCCCAGGAAGGCCTGGAAACGCACCCCTGATTGACACTGATGGACGAGATTCTGCACCACCGTTCAGAAACCTAGGCTTACCTCTTAAAAACACAAAACGTTTCTCAACTGTTTGGGGGTAACATGGGCTATATGTCTGTAAAAGATGAGAACTTCCCCAGGGCTTGGAGTTTTAAGGGGTAAGCCTGTAATTTTTCCAATGCACAATAGTTTCCACCTCTGGTTTTCAAGTGGTGCGAAATGGAATTCGTCCATCCACAGCAGGAAACCGAAAAAACACACCAGGGGCTTCCACCAATTTGGAATTTCTTAAGCGCATCGACCGGATCAATGGACCGTGTGGTGTTTTTGCCCCCGGCATCCATGTTTTTAGCCAAGGTCCAAAAGATGATCACTAAGCAACTCGAGCCTAGTCACATGGAGGTGTGATGAGGTGTGCAGACTCTCAAACCGGGTCTCCTCATAGTTCCGTCTTGTGGTTGCTGTTGTGCTTCGATTCCGCTTTAGGCTTGATGTTCATATCGCTTGGTTCTGCTGTTGCTTTTGGCCGGTGAATGGAAACTGACCCTAAGGGGCTTGGCTGACCCACGAGTGGCTTGGTTCACCAAAACGGCATCAGATCGGTTGGATACATACTTTTGCGTCTGTGGCCTTGACTGCTGTTGAGTTGGATCTTTAGACTCTAACTTTTTTGGTTGAAATCAATGGGGTTCAAGGGGTTTTCCGCTAAACCCCCAAACAGTGAAACTCACTTTTTGCAGAGGGGTCCTTTTTGCAGCCACCAAGTCAAAGATGCGGGTTCAGCGCTGAAGAGAACACCTCCGAGGCACAGAAAACGGCTACTTTTGGAAATGCCTGAACGCTCTGGAGAATCCATGCCCTGAGGCATTCAGATGCTCGATCCGATTCCGATGGTTGTGTTTTAATGTTTTGGTTTTTGTGTGCTAAAAATCCCCCAGCGATCAATTGGTGCCGGTGCCAACTTTCTCACCCAACTGTTTTTTTTGGTTGGGAAGGTTCCCCTACGAAAATAGACTACAGGGAAAAGTTGGTACCCTGGGTACCCTTATTCTAACCTCGTATACTGGAGGACCTTAGTGTGTGTTTTGTTCTTTCGGGTTTGGGGCCTCTGCTTGGGGGTGTGTCGTTGTTTTTTGTTTTTTGTTTTTTTTTTGGGGGGGGGGTGCAGGGTTCACCGGCGTTTGGTTGCTTTTAGAGAGAAGCATAGAGAAACCAGCAGGAAGCCAACCTGTTTTTCGGGTCCCCGATCTTGAAACCGATTCATGGGCCCACATGGACGTTTTCAGAACCTTCTTAGAATAGGTCCGGGAAGCTTTTCGGGGGGGGTGGGGGGCCCTCATGTTCCTCCGCCTTGAAGAGGATATCACACATTTGAGACTTTGGAACGTCATTGCCCGACCAATGCCCTTTGCATTGTTTGGGGCGTTCCGATGGCAAGCGCGTTGTAACATTGTACCGACCTCACCTGGTGGAAAGACGAGCTCACCCAATGATGTCTCGGTAATTCACTTGCGGAGACCGAATTTCGAATCTTGCAAGCTTTCCCAGCTACGCCTAGGCTCGTCCCATTTGTCCGGAGTACAACTCCTGGGATGGTTGTATATGCTCCCCTTTTTCTCACAAACATTTGTTCAGTCTTTGTTGAGCCCCGACAAGCATCCGGCAAGGAATACCATATCCAGTCAATGGACAATGTGACAAAGTATGCAAGCATGGGCAACCCTCAAACGAGGTGCCCCCCCTGCAGCTTTTGCCTAAAGCAGGGCCATTTTTCTCAAATGACCGGACTTGCGCCTTTAGTTTTGCCCAAAACGTCCTGGGGCTGGGTATGCCATATTTTGAGGCCCCAAACCCTTTTTCTAGCAGTATGTCAATGGCAGATTCCCCAAATCGGAAACCAGGCTTGGTGAGAAGCCCGCGCTTGCAAGAGTTCCGATTTTGTTGTTCAGCCAGTGCTGGTCAGGGGTGCTCGCACGCTTGTTTACCTCCCAATACGTTTCAAAACTTTCTGATGGTGTTTAAAGGCAAGCCAAAAAGGAAACCACGCAGTTTTTGCGGGTGGCCTTTCAAAACTTTCGGATGGTGTTCAAAGGCAAGCCAAAACGGAAACTGCCCTATTTTGGGATATGACATATCCACGTCGCCCTTTGAGATTCCGTTTCTGCGGGCAAGAGAACCGACCCCAACCATGCGAAACAACCTGCTACCCTAAACTTGCCAATGGGGCATGCCTTTTCAAGAGCACCCTGCTGGGTCTTTCAGAAGGAAATAAGCATATTAGATTCACCTAATTTGACACAAGCCCGTGGCTTCATGAAGCAAACAACAGCCTTGTATCCCATTGGTTTTTCATTTCATTTGCTTTGCGGCATTCTGGAATGCATATATGGGCGTGTGTGTGTGTGTGTGTAACAACTTTGTTGCGTTCCTTTCAAAAGCCAGCCTAGATTGCCATTTGAACCACTTGTCTTCTTGCTTCCCTTTCAACTCAACCCCCTTGTTTTTTGAGGGAGGGGAGGGGTGGCAGAGGAAATGCTTACCACTCCTTGGCTTTCCATCCCCCGTTCGGGGGGTCAAAACCGCCGCCCCGAGGATACTGGTGGCGTGAGGGGCAAGTCATGGCCTGGCAGAAGATCCCCTTGCTGGACTCCAGTCGCGGGTTCTGAGCTCTGCATATTTTTAGGGAATCCTTTCTTGGTGGCTCCCAGCCATCCGGTTCAACTTAGCTTTTTAGGCCTTTTTAGTTGGCTTGTTCTGGGAGTTTCCGTATTTAACCCACTAGTTTTAGGGAATCCTTTTCGGAAGTTGGGGGAACCCTGGATTTCAAGTCAACTTCTCATGTTTCGCTTTTCGGTGTCCTGTTTCAATCGTGGGAGAATGTTTCTTTTAGGGTTCTTTATTTCTTTTTGGGGCGGGGGGCATGTTTGTATTTTGTTGCGGGGAGGGGGTTGTAAAGCCTTATGCCATGGTTCTCAAGGGCGGGGGCTTCCGGAGATCAAGGGTCCAACTTTGATTTTTGAAGAGCTGTTGCATCCAGTTCTTTGGGAGTTGGGCCCGGATTGATTTCTGCATGGAAGGATCCTTCATGACTTTCAAGGGGCCAGAACCCCATGGTTTTAGCAACCTGAATCGGTGAGATCGGCAGTATTCACCAACAAAAAGCGTTCCAGGTTAGAGCCCGAAGGGCCGGACCTACCAAAAACTCATTTTTTCACTTGGACCTTCCAACAAATTACGTGTAAAAGCACTGGTTGTCGCCAGAACGTATGAGGTGATTCCCCTGTTTTCATGATATGGTAGGCTATGAAAGGCAACCCCTGACCAAAAAGGGATCTGCATTTTTCTTAGACAACCCGATCTATTCTTCAAAACATGGACACCCAACAACACGATAACGTTATTGGTGTAGGGGGCAGTTCTTGCGGGTCCTGCATATTTTTCTGTGCCCCCTCTTGGGCAGGGTACTTAGTAAGTGGTTAGTAAGCCTGGTTATAACCCACTTCGGAGACTTTAACCATGGCTTTTGTGGGTTACAACCACGGTGATTCCCCACTGACGTAAACCAATCGCCCCCTTTCAGCATGGCTCGTGAGGAGAAGCGGCTCCGAACGGAGCACGCGCTGTGCCGCCTGGAGCACGAGCTGGTGGCGGAGCCGGATCCCCCCTGCCAGGCGGGCTTGGTTGCCCTCCCAGGGGTTCCACGGTGGCACCGCGCATGCCAAACCCGCCTGCTCTATCACGAGCGACCGTTTCAAGGCTTGCCGGAAAGGGACGGTTGGCATTGCGCGAAAATGGCGGATCCGTCGGAGCCGGAAAATCCGGATTGCCGCCTTTGCATGGCCCAAGCTTGTAGGTTGGATTTCCAGCGACTTGCGGGGATTGGTGCACAGACTGTGGAAAGAAAATAATTTCCTCTTGGAAAGGGGTGTTTTTTATTGCACTTCCAGGTCGGGAGGGTAAAATTGTGCTCCTCTGTGGACAACTTCCATGCCGCAGCACTTGGAGATCATGGGAAACCATTGTTCATTGGTATTTTCCTTTTTTGGGGAAAGCATCAGAAGCCAGGGTTTCTCAGGTGGTGCAGGATTTCGCCCATCCACAGCAAGAACCGGACTCCCCAATTCGTGAGGCAGGCCAACTGCAATGAACATACAGCAACTCCCAAAGTTTGAAACAGATCCCCACCTGCTCTTCTTCCGCAACTGCCATTTGAGTTTGCAGCTTACATGTTCAACAACCAGCTCAGAAAGCTCAGACGAGCGAAACCAACCAACCATACCACCCTGCCCATGCGCTCACGGTCACCTCTCTTCCTTGGGGCCGGCAAATGCAGCAAGTCAAACTTACAGCACTGACCCAGAACTTGAATTTTGGGCAGGTGTGTAACATCAAAGAAACTTACCAACAGAAGGGACACCAACACGCCCGAAGAAATGCAGCTCGGTAGTTGTGCAATGCAAAGGAAATCCTTGAGAACAAGCCGGAACCCCAAAAACTCAAGAACCATTTTTCCGCTTGTGAAGGTCCCAAAAGGTTGGCCTTTTTTTGATGGGATTTGCCAGGGATGGAGAGAGGCCGGTAGGTTATATACCGCTTGTATAAACTTTTATGGAAGGTCCCCTCGCCCCTCGTATGAGGTGGGCCGCGCCTTGTCTTTGCGGCGCCGCTCCAGCCTAAGCAGCACGAGGCCGGTTGGACTCGCTGAAGACGAGCGTTCTGGGTTCGACCTCTGCCCCAAGCTTCCATCCGGGTCGTGTTTGATGGTACGCCTTGTTTTGGTTTTAAAAGGGACACCTAAAGGAAATCCACTATTTTGGTCCCCTAAAGCAGACACACCCATTTTAAGAATATGGTTTGTAATTCCCCATGTTGAGTTTGAAGCGTATGTGAAGATATTCTATCACTATTGGAAATATGGTTGTTGTTTTTTTCCAGGGGAGGTAGCCGCAAATGGAGGTTGTTCACTGCATGCATTCTATGGGACAAATACCCGCCGAAGGATTTCTGGGTAGAATTTCCTGTAGTTGGCTTCTTAAACATTTGCCCAATTTGCTTGCGGGGTTCCCAACAGTTTTTGTTTGGGGCTCTTCGGTGCGGCTTTAAGCAGCACCTTCATAAACTGAGTGTACTCCCTGTGGGGTGATGTTTATGCCCAATTTGCTTGCGGGGTTCCCAACAGTTTCCCTTTGGGGCCCTTCGGTGCGTTCAAGGGCGGAAGTATGGGGAGCCCTGTCCTTGGTTGATTGAACAGAGTATCCAACTTTGTTTATTGAAGCGGCAGCGAAGGAGCCACGAAAAGTCTGCAGGTCATTTGGTTGCTCCACTTCTTAGGTCTGGTTTGTGACCTGTGATTTGCCCATGAAATCACCTGCTCCTAGGGGCAGGTTACCTAGTAAGCGGTTGGTAATCGTGGTGATAACCATTGTTACTACCCGCTTACCTTACATACCCGATCGCCCCTCTAAGTAAACACTTGTGTACGGCGAGTGGGTGGTCCCCATCGATTTATGTCTCCCGGCGAACTCAAGGAAACCCTGACCCAAGAATTTCCGGGCACCTTCACTGGGAAGAGGGCGAAGGAACGCAGTCTCAGGCACAATCCGGGGCCAGTACCCTCCTGTCAATTAACATGGACCTGACAGGGGGGGCTGGAAGACAATTGTCCTTTTAAAGGGACAGGTCAGGTTCCAGGTTAATTCGTGGGAGGGTAAAGAACATCAATGGGTGTGTATATCCGCCTTTTCGATTCTTGAAGCATTCTTTTCTCCTACCAGGGTTTGACTCCGACTCACTTGCTATACCATTTTGTTGACCCCATGCCATTCGGGTGCTGATGCGAAAAAAAGCAAAGCAACAAAGACAACAAACACCATCCGGGCCAGCGAAGAAGGTTTGAGCCCAGAGGTTTTGTCGCCTCGTTAGTGGATGGGAGGGTTTTGTCGTGGTTCAAGGCGGAGAAGTCCAGAAGTCCAGACTCCAACTCGCCCAGGTTGGAGACCTGAAGTTTATCACGCACATAGAGTGGCGGTTTTTTGGGGGCCGCTGCTGATTTTCGGATGCGCCGTCAGTAGAGCCCAGCAAGGCCCTGCCTGTTTGCGTCAAGTCCCACAGGCGTGTGACCGATCAAACTTCAGGCATAGAACCAGCAGGAATTCTAGAGGACATCCTTGTTTTGAGTTGGTATTTGACCAATGTCCTGCAGAAGTCTCGCTGGTGTCTATGAAGGTGGCAAACCTTTTGCGGCAGGATCTTGGCTTGGAGTTTGGCCGCGGTTTTCCTCGCGAGAGCAAAGCGATCTCGCACTGATAGGACACAGCGGCCCGGCGCGCGCGTCCAGCGAAAAGGGGAGCGTGATCGCGAACTGGAACGGAAGCAGCGAAGGGGGCCAAATGAGTATGGGTCAAAACAGGGGGACCCCGAAATGGTGGCTGGGTCCCCAGTAGTGCCCTTTTACCCTTTTTTGGGGGAGGCTTCCCCTACTAAAATAGACTACAGAAAAAAAGTGTACCCTTCTTCTAACCTCTCTACTGGAGGACCTGGATGGTTTTCTTTCAGTTTTCCCTTTAATTCAAGGTGGCAAAGCTACCCCCCCCCCAAAAAAAAACAAACAAACAAACAAAAAACAGCACGCGCCATCAGGGTCCGCGGGATTGACGCAAATGCGTCCCAGGAGCAGAAGCTTTGTCGTGCAATTGCCCAGCCGTGATGCCTTCCAAGGATTCAGTCGACTCGGTGTCCGATGGTTTTTGTTTCGCTTCTTTGTTGTTTTTGCGGCTTTGTTTGAGGGATGTGGTGTTTTTGTGTGTGTATGTTATTTTGTTGTGCGTGTTTTTGTTTGAGGGATGTTGTTGTGTGTTTTGTTTGTGCTTGTTTGTTTTGTTAGGAGGGAAAGGGGGCATGTCTGGTGTCCTTAGTTGAAGGCCAACCAGGAAGCTGCCAGCTTGAAGGCTCTTAAACATGGTTGTTGTTGGGACACATTTTATACTTTTGCTTATTGTGGTTTTAGTTGGAAATCCCTTCTTTACTGCTAAAATATATTTTTTGCTCCCCTTCCAACGTCAACCAAGTAAAGGCCCACGGATAGCTTCGGACGCCCCGATCCCAGATTGCCATATTGCAAGAAACCTAACCACAAAAAGCATGGTATACTAGTGAATTAAGATGATTTAGGTGGTTCATTTTTCCCCTAACTAAGCGTTCAACCCACAAGTAAGGAAGAAACACACCTTCGGAGAGTTCGGTCTGCTGCGAAAATTGCGGCTTTTTCAGGTAAGCCTTAATTGGTGGCTTGGAGTAGTGGTTTGGATTTGGATTTAAAGCCGATTCTTGAGGATATACCTGGGAAACCAGCCTTAACACAAAGCAGCGATTCGGCTCCAAACCACAACAAACCGGGGGGGGGGGTTAACCACCAAGCCACCGATTCGGCTTCAACCCCCCGCAGAAAAACGTGGACCGATCCACCCGACTCGGCTCCAACCCCCCCGAAAAAATCCGGGGAAGCTGACTGTCGCCCACACCTGGCCGGGGAGATTGGGCTGAACTTCAGATTTAAGCCAAACAAACAACTTAACGTCAACTTCACATGAAAAGTAGAGTTATAATATATATATATACATATATATTTAAAACAAATCCAAGAAACCAGGGCTTCAGGTTCAAAAAACGCCCCTTGAGGTCTCAGCCCCCTGCTCACCAGCATCTCGGCCGCGCCCTGAGTGACGAAGCTCCGAAGCTCCGAGCCGAAGCGACGAGAAGTTGTCCGACGGGAACCCAAGCGCTTGGGTTCGCCTGAGCTGGTTCTGTTCACGGTTTGTTTTGGCTATGTTTTTGCCGTAGGGCCCTCTTAAACAGTGGTTGAAATGAATCCCCATTCGAATAATGTCTATCCGGGTCCATCAAAGTTCACATCCATTGCCTTTGGTTGGCTTTGATCGCCTGAAAGGGCCAACTCGAAGGGGGCTTGCGCCTTTTTGATCCTTTTATGTAGTTCCTTTAGCCCAGTTAGCCCCAATCAGGGCTCACTCGCCGTGCGCGAGGCTCAGGTGGATGCTTCCATGGAGCTCCGCTTTGGCGTTGCGGCCTTGGCGCAGGGGTGTGCGTCAAAATGGGTCATAGGCGTGCATCAAAATGGGGTCACCTCCCGTGGATTTCCTTTGGTTTCCCCTTTAAGCCCTCAAACAAGCACCGTATGGGCCTGGGTGTGTGTTCTTGTTTTTGAGGATACCATTTACAGCTGGGCTTACCGGCCCGAGGGTTAGAGCAGAGCCCTGCAGGCCCCCTAGACCCTAGGAGTCTAGGGTCCCAGGCTGTGTCTAACATGGAGTCGTCATCGCTAGTGGTTTGGCTAGGGGCAAACAAATGTTTGGTGATGTTTGCAGATTCAGTCAGGAATTCGGATTCAGCCATGTACAAGGGATGCCCAACACAAATGCAAGTAGCACCGGAACTTGTAGCAACAAGGAAGCCATTTAACTTACCGTACTACGCCTTGTTGGTGCTTCCTGTGCATGCTTTTTGGAGTTGGCCATGAAGAAACGATGTCCACTTTACAGGGTCAAGTGAAAATCATAGCCACCTACTGTGGATGGCTGCGAAGCCCATTCTGCCCCACTCGGAAACCATTGTTTATTTACGTTGGGGACTCATCAGAAACCAGGGTGTCTTATGGTGAATTGCTAAAACATGCAAGTTGTGAATGTTTGTCTCAAATTAGCCAGACCCCGCAAAAAGAAATCAATCTTCACCCTCTGAACCCTCTACTCCAAGATCCTTTAAAACTAAAGGGTGCAAACCCGTACAAAAAGCATACAACACCCGTTAAACAACGCATACACAACCCGTACGTTTGTTTGCTACGGTTTTCGCGCAAAGAACCTGGTTATTTTTGAGATTCTTGGAGTAGAGGAGAGGGTTTTGCCCCCCCCCCAAAAAAATAATAATAATAATAATAATTAAACAAACACATCTTCGACATTCCAGTATTCCCAATGCTAAATCAGAATGATTCCCCTATTATTTAAATCCCACAACAATCGCCAGTTTGAGCAGCTTTGATTCCTTTGCTGAAAAGCGGCATTCTTGATCAACTGTCGGGCTGCTTATGAGCAAACCTACAGGAAAGTGAAGAAGAGTCGCCCAAGTTTGAGGCATCCCTCAGGGGATTTGTTTGGGGAGGGGAAGGGCCTAGCGGATTAGATTTGGCAATCCAGAACCCCACCACTTCGAATTGGGGGAGGGAGGTGAGCCTGGAAGTAATTCCATTTGCAAGCCATGTTCCTTGGGGAAGGGCTAGATACGTGGAGTTCTAGGACTTAGGGGGATCCGGCAATTCAACTGGACCCTTGCCTTCTCGCGTGCGGCTTCTTTAGGCGCCCCAGTTGCTCTCCAAGTCATCCTCTACCACCACCACCCAGGTGCGAGCAAGGGGAGTTGTCTGATTGGAAAACGTGCGGCAGTTGGTTTAATGGTCTGTCTCAAAATAGGGTTTTCTTCTGGTTTCTCGTAACATCAGCAGAAAAGAGGGTCCCAAGAAAACATACCCCAAACAAGCGCATCGCCAATTTAGTGACAAGAAAACATTGGCGGGTTCCCAAGAGAATTCAGGATGAGAACAATGTTGCCCCACTGGAGAGGGTTCTGCACAAAATCCTGGGTCCCCTCTGATGGGGGGCTTCATCACATCGACAGCCAACAAACAGTGCCCTTAACAAGCCTGAAAGACGATCCTCAGGAAAAAATCAATCATGAAAGACATCGATATCCGCTTTTATTGTTTTCCTGTTGGAGCCCTTTCAAACCACCAACAATTTGACAATATGCGATGGTAGAATATGTATGGAGCCCTGAGATGAATTGTGGTGGTTCCATGTTCGCTCAATCTTCCCCCTGCTCCAAATATACCCGCATCTTTTTCTTTTCTTTTTTTTTGGGGGGGGGAGACCCGATTTTCCATGGGTAATGTCCCTCTGGTTTCGTCAAGTGTTGACATGATACCCGGAGAAAAAAACAACGTTGGTACTTGGAGCTTTCAGGGGTTGAAGGACTAACAAGTGGCAGCCAACAAGAAAACGATGAGAACTTGGACGAGGCGCAGCCTTCAGCACAATCCAGGGCTCAAAGTTGGTTGCTTCCATTTGCTGAAATGAATATGCGTTTCATCATTTTTCCCTGTTAAGGTTGGAAAGGGAAGCTTTCACTACTGGAAGAGTCTGGTTGTCATGATTTTTCCTGTTTTGAAAGGGAAGCGTTCACTACTGGAAGTGTATGTTGTTCAGGGGACGGCGTGTTGATGGCAGGGCTGGCTTCTGACGGATTTCTCCAGCGAATGTTTGGCGGATTCCACGGAAACGCGCAGCAGAGGCGGCACGTTCCTGGGTCTCCGACTGGCAAACAAGACCCGGCCGCAGCATGCCTGGACTCTGCACAATGCGAAGACATATTTCGCCCAAGGACCCATTCAGTGCGTTAACTCAGCAACTGATTCGATTATTAGGATGACAGCGAACAAGCAAATGGAGGTGTCTTTAGTGGGTTGTGCTTTTCAAAATCGACAACCAAAACAGGGGCGGGGGGATCCTCTTACTCAGCGGTACAGGTGAATCTTAAACTAACCGGCTCACATGTATCCTTTACTAGGACCCTGTAACACCGATGATTTTCCAGAACTATGAAGCGGTCCTTTTTGCATTTCGTTGACCCCTTCGCTCAATCCCTGCCCAGTGGTTTCATTGATACCTGCATAGGTAACCAAGGCTAGGTCCCCCAGTAGTGCCCTTTTACTGTTTCTTTTTTGGGGGAGGGTTCCCCTACTAAAATAGACAGAAAAAACAGTGGTACCAACCTATTCCAAGCTCTCAAATCTGGAGGACCTAGAAGACCAGCCTCAAAAGGAGAATGGCAAAGGGTCAGTTTCTGCCGTGGGCCCCCGCAGCTTTGGGCCACATTTTTTGGTCGAGAGCCGGTGTGTTAAGCGCGGGAGCCCAAAGCTGTGGCTCAGGCT